GTCCCGGGGGAACGTGGACAAGGGGGCACCAGTGGCGGCCTCGGTACAGACAGCATACTGCTCGTGACCAGGGAACGTAGTGGTGACGCCAAGGTCCTGGAGGCAGCCGACACCAACTAGGTTCCTGGAAAACGAGGGGATATGCAGACCTGTAAGAGAGCCCGAAGGAACCGCCGGACAGGGAAGGGTGGTGGAACTGCGGGCGACTACCGGACCGCCGGAGGGGTTAGCAAGAGAAACGGCAGCAGGAACAGGAAGCGGCGTCAGTGTAGTGAAGTCGCGGAAGAAGCACCGGGAAGCGCCAGAGTCCAAGGTGAAGGAAAGCGCAGCAGTGGCGTCTGGCGACGGGGCGACAGCGGAAGCACCAAGGCTAAACAGAGCAGGGGATCCTACGCCTGACGCAGCAGGGGAGGCTAAGCTAGGCGCACCTACACTAGACGACAGTGAGTAATAAGCGGGAAGCACACGAGAGTTATCAGCATACATCACATGCAGAGCAGAAACAATGGCATCCATGTCCATGTCAAAAATCTGAATCCTACGACTAAGCAAACTGTGCCAGTCCGGGAGGTCTGGCGACGGGCCGAAGCGCTGACGAAACGGGTCGTCCAGGCGACGAAAGCAGCAAGGAGTGGTATGACCGGTCTTACCGCAGACGAAGCCGCAGCGAGGACCGGTCTGGATCTGGTACTGGCAACGCACACCTCCCGAACCGCCACCCGGGACACCACCACGCGCACGACCACCGACCACCTCCAGCGCCGGGCCACCCGGGCGGGAGGACACTCGCATGCCTTGTCTGTGGCGGCTGCTACGAAGGCTGCGGCTGCTGCTGCTGCTGCGACTGCAGAGGCGGTGGCTCAGCTGGACTGGGCGAGGTCCCCTCGTCCGCTCCAGCACCAGACGAACCGACTCCACCACCACCCCCTCCTGCACCCCCGCCTCCTCCGCCGCGCCCAGCCTTGGGGCGGCGGCCCTTCCCCGAACGAAACTGCGCTGCAGCAGCAGTCTCAGCCATAGCGGTAGAGCCGTCGGAGAAGGTACACTGAGCGGGGGCACAACCCTGAAAGATAGGGACCGGCACGGTACCGCTCGCAAGGGCGATGGAGCGGTGGCGGGTCTCAATCACAGTCAGGGTGTCGACAAAGTCAGTGAGGGTGAGGTCTGCGGGGTGAATGCTAAGGAAGCGGTCGTGGGCGGCAGCAAGGCGGTCAGGGAGGCGGGTGGCAAGCGGGTAGAGGGTAGAGGTAATGGGCGGCTGGTGGGCTCTAAGCTGTGCGTCAGTGCAGGCAGCGCGCCAGGTCTCATCTATCGAGCGCAGGCGGGCAGCTAGGTCAGAGACAGTGGGGAAAGACGCAAGGTCAGGAAAGAGCAGCGGGAGGATCAGGCGACCCACCGACGCAGCAGGAGGGGTGGAATAGCGCTTGATGACAGCATCTAAGTAAGCCTGGGTGGTAGTGAGGGACATAAAGCGAGGGCGCTCGGACGGGGGAAGGGCGTTGCTAATGGCAAGCTGAGCGACAGCGTCTCGAGAAAGCCAGACAGAGCGCGCAAGGGCAGTGGCTGCAGTAGACTCGCGCTCAGCGGGTGTGGGGTCAGTGGGCAGCACAACAGGGGGGTCTGGGAAGGGGAGCGTACCGTCAAGGTGTGCGGAAAGCGGGTGGCCATCCTGCCGATGGCCAGTGAGGTGGCGCCGGAGGTCGGCGAGCCACGCCTCGAACTCCAGAGGCTGGCCTTCAGCGTCGAAGCGAAGCTCCGCCGCCATCAGGGGCAGTGCGAGACGGCGCGGGGATGGGGAACCGTACCAGGGAGGATGCAGGGTCGGGGCAGGGACGACGAGCGGGCCGCACACAGCTCGGGGCCAAAAGCAGCGGGCACCAGGCCGACGGGACGGGCGTGGGGTCGGCTGGGACGGGCGCAGGGGCCGAGCAGACGCGGCGGGGCTAGGCAGGCGCGGCGGGGCCAGGCAGGCACGGCGGGGCCAGGCGGGCGCGGCGGGGCCAGGCAGGTGCGGCGGGGCCAGGCAGGCGCGGCGGGGCCAGGTAGGCGCGGCGGGGCCAGGCAGGTGCGGCGGGGCTAGGCAGGCGCGGCGGGGCGAGGCAGGCGCGGCGGGGCCAGGCAGGCGCGGCGGGGCCGGGCAGGCGCGACGGGGCCAGTCAGGTGCGGCGGGGACAGGGAGGTGCGGCGGGGCCAGGCAGGCGCGGCGGGGCAAGGCAGGTGCGGCGGGGCCATGTAGGCGCGGCGGGGCAGGCAGGGCGCGACGGGGCTAGGCAGGGCGCGACAGGGCCCGGGCAGGGCGCGACGAGGCCGGGCGGGTGCGACGGGGCCGGGCAGGGCGCGACGGGGCCTGGCAGGGCGCGACGGTGCCGAGCGGGCGCGACGGGGCCAAAAGGCGTGACGGGGCCCAGGAGGGGCGCGACGGGGCCCAGGAGGGGCGTGACGGGGCCCAGGAGGGGCGTGACTGGGCTTGGGGCGCGACGGGGCCCAGGGGGGTCGCGACGGGGCTAGGGGGTCGCGACGAGGCAAGGGGTGTCGCGACGGGGCTAGGGGGTCACGACGGGGCTAGGGGGTCGCGATGGGGCTAGGGGGTCGCGACGGGACTAGGGGGTCGCGACGGGGCCAAAAGGCGTGACGGGGCCCAGGAGGGGCGCGACGGGGCTAGGGGGTCGCGACGGGGCTAGGGGGTCGCGACGGGGCTAGGAGGTCGCGACGGGGCTAGGCGGGGGGCGCGACGTGGCCCAAGGGGAAGCGGCGGGGCCTAGCTAGGGTACGGGCGGAAGCGGTAGGTGGGGGATCCTAACCTATGCGTGATACCATGTTAGAATGAGAACTGAATGAATGAGTAGGGGGAGAGTACAGGTGAATATACCTAAGTGTTGTACCCTCTAAGAGGTGCCCCTATACAGTCTATACAAACATAGTAGATACACATGTTTGACACTTCTGTCCGTCTTTGCGTTGCGAATGGCAGCTGACGCGATTTTCATCCTGCTCGTTTTTTTGCAGCTGAGCGAACCTTGGTAATGAAGGACCAAAGACTGTTTAAAGGCAAGAAAAACGAGCAGGATGTTATGTAGAATGCAATATCAAAGAAGCTTAGGACACTAACTAAACTTATGAGCCTAGCTTAGCTAGGAACCAAGGACGGACGCCATGGAATGGCGTGAGGAAAGTAGATCTAGGAGCGGGGGAGAGAAGTTGACGAGAAAGAAGGGAGTCGATTAGGAAGAGAGAGGAGTACAAGGAGGGGTTTGTACCCTCTACAGAAAGGTTCAGTAACAACCTACCAAGCCTATATTAAATTATAACTTATATAATTTTAACACACCCCCTAGGCTTGGTAGTGTCAAGCCCACGCACACCCCCACACCCACACCCACACCCACACCCCCTAGCCCAGCACCCCCATTCCTAGCAGGAGCCGCAACAACTCCGGAAGAGGGCAGCTCCCATGGCCCGTGAGATGGCAATGGCGGCAGTGGCGACAGTGACGACAGCGGCGGCGGCAGCGGCGTGCGGCGGCACCAGGCCCACGGCAACAGCGGCGTCGGCGGCGTGCGGCGACACCAGGCCCGCGGCAACAGCGGCTGCGGCGGCGGCTTGAACGTCAGAGGCCGGTGCAGCGGCCCCCGCCCTCTCGGCGGCATGTTGAGTCTCCTCGGCGGTGGAGAGGGCCCTCATGAGGCAGTCATTGGCTGCAGCAAGAAAGGGGGGGATGCAGGGGAAGCAGGTGCAGGTGGGGGGGGGAGGGGAGGGGGCGGGGCGAGGCGAGTCTTCAGCGACGCGCCATAAGTGGCGCGGCGCTTACTGGCAGGAGGGCGGGCAGGTGGCGGTTACGACGGCGTGCTGCCCGCTGCCGCCCATCGACGCTGCCGCCAGAGCACGGCGTCGACGCTGTGGTGGCACGCCGACGCTGCAACGGCAGCAAGGTGACGCTGCCACGGCAAAGCGTCGACGCCACCACGGCAGGGCGTCGAGGAGGCGACGGCCGCACGACGAAGCCGCCATGACAGGCCGGCATGGCCGCCACGGCGGGAAGGCAGTGACGAGAGATATGCTCGGCGGAAGCGACGGCACGACAGCGCGACGCCACAGCAGTGCGTCGAGACGGCCGTGGCACGACGCGGCCAGCGGCACGACACGAGCGCCATGGCAGCGCGAGAAGCGTGAGTAGGCGGTCCAGCAGGAAGGATCTCCTGCTCTGATACCATATCAAAGAAGCTTAGGACACTAACTAAACTTAGGAGCCTAGCTTAGCTAGGAACCAAGGACGGACGCCATGGAATGGCGTGAGGAAAGTAGATCTAGGAGCGGGGGAGAGAAGTTGACGAGAAAGAAGAGAGTCGATTAGGAAGAGAGAGGAGTAGAAGGAGGGGTTTGTACCCTCTACAGAAAGGTTCAGTAACAACCTACCAAGCCTATATTAAATTATAACTTATATAATTTTAACATGCAAACCCAGAAAAATGGGTACTCTAAAAAATGTGCCATATCATAAGCTATTCCCCGCATATGCCACCCATGGGTTGACTATTTCGGCGGGTATTATATACGGGGGATTACGGTAGTTGAGTCGTTTCCTTTCAACTTGCCCTAACAAAAAAAAAAAACCATTGGGCTGTTAGCAAAAACGCAGGCACGAAAACCCCCCTTGCAACATGGCAAAGAGGCAGGTGTGAGTCCCCTGCCAAATGACGGGGCTCAAACGTGACACCTCTGCTAGGTTGCGTAGCCCTTGGGAACTCCCGCGCAAGCACGAGGTGGACGAATATGAAGTTTCGCAAAAACATTTCGCTTATCTTTTTCCTCGTCAACCAATCGTAATCTGCCGCCCCACCTACTTCAACAGTAACAATATGTAACCTGCCGGTTGGGCTTTAAGCGGCAGTCGCAAGCTGCCCCGCGTCTCCTGTGAGTTGCGATGTTTTTCCAGTTTGCACCACGATACCCTTCATTTGACGAAAACAAGTTCAGGATTCCTGATGGCAAACCATTCTGAATTCGGGCTTTAAAACCCTTGTCAGACGTCAAGACCACATACAGTCAGGTTGTGAAATACACTAATGCGCCATTTGCTAAACGTTGTAGCATAGCTTGCCAAACTTGATTTACACCTTGCTACCTCGATTGTTCTTGCAAATTTATGCTACAGTTAGTCAGGTAGCTTGAATATGGACAAGACACTAGGAATCTCACGACGTAGTCTTCACAAGAATCCTCAAAACAATCCCAACTGCAAGCGTCCGACCGCCGTCTCTAAGAGCAATGCGGCCAAAGGCACGGAAGTCCGAGTAAGCTTCAAGGCACATACCACGCTCGAGAGACAACTGTAGGCAAGGGGGGTGTGGTTGGGCAGAGTGGGGAGTGGGTGGGGTAGGGGGGAAGGTGGAGGAAAGTGCCAGGTCACAGCACTGAAGTAGGCTTTAAGAAACAGCAAAGCGAATGAAGGGAGGATAATGGAAAACAGATAAGCAAGAGAATTGAAGGAGCTGATAGGTGTAGCTCAAAGAAAATCGGCCAACATGGTTAGACTTCTGGCCTCCACTCCACTATCGCACTTTGGTTGGACCCCACAGCCTTTGGCTAAGTTAAAGGCGCCTCAAAACTAAAACCAACATGGTTAGACTTCTGACCTCCAACATCCCACTATGGTTGGACCCCACAGCGTGGGCTTGGCCCTTTGTCCCACAGCCCCACAGCCTGCTGAGCCTTGGCAACCTTGCCTGTCTTTATGACCATAGAAACCTAAATAGATTGCCCTTTTACCCCCCTCTCCCCCCTCTCTCACCTCCACTACGGCATTCTGGTTGGACCCCACAGCCCTGGGCTTGGCCCTTTGTCTTGGAAGAGCAAGGATACCCCCCTCTCCCTCCTCCCCCATTCCCCCCCCCTCCCCCCTCTCCCTCCCTCCTCTCACCTCCACTATGGCACTCTGGTTGGAGCCCACGGCCCTGGGCCTGGCCTTCGCAACCGCCCCTGTCTTGGAGTCAAGAATGGCTGTGAGGGACACAATGCGGCACGCCTCCTTGGCTGCATGCGCGTGCAGGATGGCCTGAGGCGGAGCGGAAAACAGGGGGGGGGGAGAGGGGGGGGAGTGGGGGGGAGAGGGGGCGGAAGGGGCAAGAAGAGTCGAGTCCTGCCGTGGCGATGCATGAAGAATAGCTGTGAGAGAGACGATGCGGCACGCCTCCTTGGCTGCATGCGCGTGCAGGATGGCCTGTTGAGGGGGAGGGGAAGGGAGAGAGGGGGGTTGGGGAGCAGAGGATTCATGGGCTGCGACGTCAATGGAACTTACCCTAGTTCCTATCAAAACTTGAAACGAAACGTGCAGTGTGCACTCGAAAAGCATTCGGGATCCTGAGATGAGAGTCCGGGCCTCCACTCGAGTGGCAGCCGGGATGGGGGATGGCTGCCTTGCACCAAGGCAATAGAACCCACTGACCTGCCCCTCTCAAAACTCACATTAGTGCCTCTCAGTAGCGGGATCTTGAGGTCGAGAGTGAGAAGGCAGCACTCCACTCTCGTACCGGCGGGGATGAGGAATGCTTACCTTGCCCTAAATCTAAGAAACCAACCAAAACGCCCCTTTATAGACTCACATTAGTGCCTCTCAGAAGGGGGATCTTGAGGTCGAGAGTGAGAAGGCGGCACTCCACTCTTGTAGCGACCGGGATGGGGAAGTCCGGGTGGCACAACACGCCACCTGGCAGCAGCTGATTGGCATCCACGCCCTGCAGCCCGACATCGGCACTCTCCCCTGCCCATGCTGCTGCCACGGGCGATTCGTCCCTCTCCAGGGCTTTAACAGTGCCCAAGAAGGAACCTGGCATCACCAGCACCTGGGACGGAAATCGGAAGAGGAGAGAAGCAAGAAAGGGAGTCTGTGAGTCGACGCAACCGGCAGCAGCTGGTTTGCCTCCACGCCCTGCGGCCCCACATCACGCTCTCCCCTGCCCATGCTGCTGCCACGGGCGATTCGCCTCCTTCTGCTTCTGGAAAGGAACCGCCCGCATCTCAAGGACCTGGGGAAAGAGGAGACAGGGCAAGCCGAGAGGAAAGAGTACGAGAGGCGAGAGGCGAGAAACGAGAGGCGGGAGTCGAGAGGCGAGAGGAAAGAGTACGAGAGGCGAGAGGAAAGAGTACGAGAGGCGAGAGGCGCGAGGCGAGAGGCGAGAGGAAAGAGTAGGAGAGGCGAGAGGAAAGAGTACGAGAGGCGAGAGGCGCGAGGCGAGGTGAGGCGAGGCGAGGCAAAACATGCGAACGCATGCAGCCCCACAACGACGCTGTCTATCGCCCATGCTGCTGGCAGTCTCCCTCCCCAGGGCCTTGGCAGTGCCCAGAGACTAGAGTCAAGCCAGGCTAAGTTTAACATATCCCCAATATGACATATCCTCACTATAGCCTATGCTCATTCTTGCATATACTCTCTCTAGCCCCTACTCTCACTCCTCATCTAAGTCCCCAGTCGCATGGCTCTCCGCACTCCACTTTCCCCGACACACCTGCCTGCCGGCCCTGTTTTCCTTACCTTTACCCCCCCGTACTCACTCTAGTACCAACGCTCACCTTAGCTCCGTGCTGCATGGCCCCATATCCATTTCTCACCTTAGTCCCGGGTCGCATGGCTCCGCACCCCACTTTCCCCGACACACCTGCTTGCCCCAGCCTCCTCATTCTGAGAGCCCATGCCCGGCTATATCCCTGTACTCGTTATAATCTACCCTCAGTGCTCACCTTGGTTCCGGGTCGCAATGCTCTACACTCCACCTTCCCCGCCACCCCTGCCTGCCCCAGCCCCCTCGTTTTAAGCACTTCTGGTATGGCCAGGCGCAGAGGGCACTTGAGAGCCCATACCCAGGTGACCCCTGTACTCAGTATGCGTTGAATCACTCGAGACCCTACTCTCACCTTGGTTCCGGGTCGCATGGCCCCGCACTCCACTTTCCCCGCCACGCCTGCCTGCCCCAGCCCCCTCGTTTTAAGCACTTCTGCTATCGCCAGGCGCAGCGGGCGGTTGAGAGCCCTAGGAGGAGGTGAGAACGAATCAACGGCTTCCAGGAGTGTTGGCCCCATATACCTGAGGGGTGAAAGTGGGTGAGATAGAGGGAGAGAGAGGCAGAGGGAAGGAAGGAATGAGCGTTGTTCGCCCTACTGACAGTTGAGCACTTCAGCTATTGCCAGGCGCAGGGCGGGGGTGAGAGCCCTAGAAGGGCGAGAGAGGGATATCAACAGCCTCCAGAGGGTGTTAGAGGTAGTGAGAGAGTGTGAGTAGGAGAAAGAAGGGGGGGGAGAGAGAAGGGAGGAATGCAGACTCTAAGAGGGAGAGAGGGAATCAACCAGAGGGTGTTAGAGGAAGTGAGAGAGTGTGAGTGGGAGAAAGAAGGGGAAAGAGAGAAGGGAGGGGGGGATGAATGAAGGACCCATCTGGACTAGTGTTGAGGCGCCTCAAAGCTAGACTCCTATCACGCGGATTTCTCCCATTCCAACTCACTCAGTGGGTGAGCTGGCACCCAATTCACCACAACCTCCAAAAGACAGAACTGAAACACTTTTTCCCTCACCACTTCTTTAGTCAAGCACCAATTGGAGGCTAAACCATACTGCCCTCCTGCATCCCACTTAGCGGCACCCACTACACCGCCCCTTCTTTCCACAAAACAGTCTTTCTCTCACCATTTCTCTAAACAGATTGTTCGCTCAAGTGCTACCTCATGTCAGGGTGACAACCCTTGTCAGGGTAGCGATCGCACGTGCTTCCTACTAAGTGACCACCTTTCACGGGAGACAAGCGTCGGATATCCCACATTGCCTTGCTTGAATCTAGCTTTTGCGTTTCAACTCTCATCTCTCATCGTCTTGCACGCGGAAAAATCCGTTATCCGCCTGACTCTCTGTTCCCGCATCCGCAGAGTCAGATGCGATGACGAGGCTATCACACGTCTTGAGGGACAGAACGAAGATGGCTGCAAGAATGACAAAATAGCCGAGGCTAGCAGCACCTTGCTCCGTTGCTGCATTTTGTCAATCTCGCAGCCATCTGCGTTCTGTCCCTCAGGACTTGCGATAGCCTCATCATCTAGTTTTGAGGCGCCTCAAAAATAGACCCTCATCCTCGCATGAAACTAGACCCTCATCCTCGCATGAAACTCGGCAAATGCAGAAACTGAGAGTCCGAGGGAGAACGGATTCTAACGCGTGCAGGACGATGTGAGATGAGAGTGAAAACGCAAAAGCTAGCTTTAAGTTAGGCAATGTGGGAAGCTAGATGCTTGTGTTCCGCGAAATGTGGTGTCTTTAGGACCAAACATGCACTACCACTATCCTGGCAATGGTGACACGCGACAACCCTGGCATGAAGTAGCGCCAGAGGAAACAACCTGGTCAAGTGTCTAACTTTGAGGCTTGTCTAAATTCCCCCCCTCCAGCCCACTCAGCAACATCCATTCGGATGCACCCCTTACCACCTCAAAGAGTAAAGAGTGTAATGAGTCGATTTTTGAGTTGACTCATTACACCAGATTCTCCCCCTCCAGTCCACTCAGCGGCTCCCACTTCACCTCTCCTTCCGAGCCACTCAAAGGCCAATAGCCAGTTCTTCAGTCAACCGTCACACTCTCACCATTTCTTGAGCCGGTCGTCGGTAGGAGGCTTGTCCAGATTCTCCCCCTCCAGCCCGCTCAGCGGCACCCACTTCACGCTACCCTCCCGGAACCCGCACTGCCTCGTCAAAAACGGTCCCAGCACACCCTTGATCCGCTCAAACTCCCCCTGGTCGAACCCAGCCGCGTCCATCTTGTTGACCACCACGCCTAGTTGTTCTACTCCCAGGCTCCTGGCGATCTGCGCATGCTCCTTGCTCTGCCCCACGTCCTCCCCGCCCTGCCCCCCCCCCATGCCCGCCTCAAAGGCGCCAGGGGTGGCGTCTATCACCAGGAGAGCTGCGTCGGCCTGGGGTAGGGAGAGCAGGGACGGGGGTGGGAGCGAGGGAGGGGAAGGAAGCAGGCGGGGAGGGAGGAAGGGAGGGAGGGAGGCTTCCCCCATCAGACTTCCCCCATTGGCAGTAAACCACCCCCCCCCCCCTCCCTCCCCCCCCTTCCCAGTAATTTCCTGAGCCGTGCCGGCAATCATTGACGGCACGAAGTCCCGTTGAACCACTCAGGTAAAAGCCCCTCCTCTCCCCCCTTGTCGCCCCTTCGTGCCCCCCTCATCCCACCCTCGTGCCTCCCTCATCCCACCCTCGTGCCTCCCTCATCCCACCCTCGTGCCTCCCTCATCCCACCCTCGTGCCTCCCTTACATCCTGCAAATACCTGAGCCGTGCCGGCAATCATTGACGGCACGAAGTCCCGGTGGCCCGGTGCATCGAGCAGGACCACGTTGAATCTGATGGTGGGGGCGTTGGATAGATGAGGGTGGGGGGGAAGGGGGGAAGGGGGGTTGGGGGGGGAGGGGAGAAGGGGGGGTCACTAGATGGGGGACTCTGGTCTTGGTGCCCGGTGCATAGAGCAGGACCTTGTTGAATCTAATGGTGGGGGCGTTGGATAGATGAGGTGGGTGGGGGGAGGGGGGAGGGCGCTGAATAGGGCCCGTATAGCGACAATGGCCCAGTGCGTCAAGCAGGGCCACGTTGAATGTGATGGGAGTACAGTACGGAATCACCAATACATTGAAAAAAACGGGGGTGAGGGTGGAAGAGTCGGGGGGGGGGGGGGGGAGGGGGGTCACTCAACGGTATCACATGATTGGAATTTCACCAATGCATATGGTTCTAGGGGTCTATTTCACCAATTGAGGCGCCTCAAAATAGACATATGTTGGTGTTAAATGACTGTGATGGGTGTCAGCTCTTGAAACTGGACATAGGGAGCAACTCAGGCCGTCCCGACTGCTCTTATTACCTTGGAGTTCTGAATCTAATCTAATCACTCACTCCTCTCACCCGCTCCTTCCTGCTCCCATCCAGCACCGGCGCAAACGCAAACACAAACGACCCCTTGCCCTCGCTGGCTGTGCACATTACCTGGGCTGGGGGGGGGGGCTCTTGAATCACCCATGGGTGCACCATCACGTGGGCGTCTCGAATCTGGACATGTTGACCCCTCTCGCCCACCCCTCGCTGCTCTCATCCAGCACCCATGCAAACGCAAACGACCCCTTGCCCTGGTGGGCTGCCCTTGCTGCTCTCCTCACCTTGCCCTGGTGGGCTGCCCTTACTGATCTCTTCACCTTGCCCTGGTGGGCTGCTCTTACTGCTCTCCTCACCTTGCCCTGGTGGGCTGCCCTTACTGCTCTCCTAACCTTGCCCTGGTGGGCTGCCCTTACTGCTCTCCTCACCTTGCCCTGGTGGGCTGCCCTTACTGCTCTCCTAACCTTGCCCTGGTGGGCTGCCCTTACTGCTCTCCTCACCTTGCCCTGGTGGGCTGCCCTTACTGCTCTCTTCACCTTGCCCTGGTGGGCTTCCCTTACTGCTCTCCTCACCTTGCCCTACCCCTAGTGTATATCACTACCTTGGCGTTTCAAATCTGGACATGGCAACGGACATAGTAACGCCCCTTGCCCGCTCCTCGCTGCTCTCATCCAGCACCCACGCAAACGCAAACGACCCCTTGCCCTGGTTGGTGGCGTCCCTCTGCACACGGTGCATCTCCTTGTTGCTCACGCGCCCCAGCTTGTGCAGCAGGTGGCCCATGATGGTTGACTTCCCAGCATCCACATGCCCTAGCTGCCAGTTGGGAAACGAGAATGGGTTTGGGTGGAAGAAACAAGAATCAAGGTAGGCATGTGAGTGAATCCCTTGCCCTGGTTGGTGGCGTCCCTCTGCACGTGCGCGGTGCATCTCCTTGTTGGACACTCGGCCCAGCTTGTGCAGCAGGTGACCCATGATGGTCGACTTGCTCGCATCCACATGCCCTCGCTGGAAGAGGCGAGAAGGAGGGGGGGACGGGGGGGGAGGGGGGGGAGAGAGCATGTGTGTCAACACACACCCTCTGTATGTGGTGCATGTGCTTGCTGCTCACTCGCCCCAGCTTGCGCAGCAGGTGACCCATGACGGTGGACTTGCCTGCATCCACGTGGCCAGGCTCGAAGGAAAAAGGGAGAGGAAGAAGGGGGGGGAGATAGTTTCTCCATCTGCACGCGGTGCATCTCCTTGCTGCTCACGCGACCCAGCTTGTGCAGCAGGTGGCCCATGATGGTGGACTTGCCTGCATCCATCCACGTGGCCTAGCTGGAAGGACGGGGAGGAGTGGGGGAGGGGGGAGGGAGGGGAGGGGGGTACCAAGACAGTCCTGTGATTCCCTTGCCCTGATTAGTGGCGTCCCTCCCTCTGCACGCGATGCTTCTCCTTGCTGCTCACGCGCCCCAGCTTGTGCGAGAGGTGGCCCATGATGGAGGACTTGCCCGCATCCACGTGGCCTAGCTGCAAGGGAAAAGGGGAGGAGGGAGGGGGAGGGGGGGGGGGAGGAGGAAGAAGGGGTCAAGATAGGTACTCCCTCTGCACGCGGTGCATCTCCTAGTTTAGGCAAAACATGGCCCTGCTTTATCTAACCCTCTGCCTCAAGCCCCTCCAATGCCCTCCGCCTCCTATTATTAACCCTATTCACCCTTCTCCCTTCACCCATTTAGTTTTGAGGCGCCTCAAAACTAGACTTCACCCTTCCCCGTGCACCCATTCACACTCACCACAATGAGGTGCAGGGTCGGCTTGGTACCACCATCCTCTCCTCCTTTCGGCCCCTCCCTGATCCACCCCTCTGCCTCATACGCCTCCAGTGCCTTCCGCCTCCTCTCCTCTTCATCCTCCCTCTCCCCCTCCCCCTCTCCCACTCCCACGGTCTTCGGGTCTACAGCAGCTGTAGCGGCTGTAGCGCCTGTAGCAGCAGTTGTGGCCGTTGTAGAAGCACTAGGCGAAGCTTCTTTCCTGCTTCCTTCTGCGATCTGCATTTTGCCGACACCTGCTGCTGCCACATCAGCAGCTGGGGAAGCTGAGCTGGACACGCGGCTAGTGCTGCTGCTGCTGGCGTTTTTCGCTGTGGTGGTTGTGGCAGCGAAAGCTGGCAAGGCTGCTGACGTGGCAGCACCACGTGGAGCCACGTGTCCTGCTTTCAGGGCAGAGCGGATGGCTTCATCAGGCGAAGGGGTGGCAAAGTCAAACGGTTCTGAGGGGTAGGGAAAGGAGAAGGGGAAGGGCGGGTGGGGAGGGAGGGACAGGCAGGGACAGGGAGGGAGGGAGGGAGGAACAGTCAGGGTCGACAGGCAAGGACAACAGGCAGAGACGCCAGGTGAACAGTGTGAAAAAAACCGAGGAAGTTCAGGGTTTCAGGTTTAGGGCGAAGAGCAAACTCCATTCATCAGGCGAAGGGGTGGGGTGGGGTGGGGTGGGGTGGGGTGGGGTGGAGTGACGTCAACGGGGGGTGATAAGGAGGCGGGGGGATTCGATTCAAGGTGTGCGAGAATAAATTCCGAGGGTGGGAAAACGGCAGGCCCTGAAACAAAGCCAATATGACGACAGCAAATCTTTGGACTAGTCCGAAATTTTTTCTCGTTGTCATCCGGAAAAAAAAAAGGGGCCGTTCAAAATTATCAGGTTTTTCAGGGGCCTCACAACTATTTCTCATCCAGATAAGCAACTCTGAAATGTCCAGAAAAAAAAACGCCCCTTTGAACTGAACACGCCTGTCTGTCGCCCACCACCCCACCTATTCTCATCTCTCCTGCCGCTTTCAGAACCCACGGCACGCGGGCCAATGGAAGCACGCTACGTGGCTGTCCCTGCCCGGCAGCAGCAGGCTGCAGCACACACGCGCCCTTCCCCGCCTCTGCACTCTCCCTGCACACTCTCCCAAACCCCGCTTTCCGCCGGCAGCGAGGAGCGACAGCACAGAGGGTAGCAGCGAGAGGTGATATCTGGGGAGGGCTGGCAGCTGCAGCTGTGGGTGTTATTTGGACAGGTTGGCTATCCATTCTTGCATCCCATTCTTTGTCAGCCGTAGCCCTCAGCTGCGCTCGCAGCTGTGGTGGTGGTGGTTGGTGCCTGTGCCCCATTCCTGCACCCTCAGCGGTTGTCCCTTCCCTCGCGCTTTTAGCCGCCGCCCCCTCGCTCTGTGTGCCTGCACACACAGGCAGCAGAGCGGGCGGGCGGGAGCAGGGTATTTTTGAGGCGCCTAAAAAATCGCCCCATAGATTGGAGCCTCAAAGGCCGCCCCCTCGCTCTGTGTGCCTGCACACACAGGCAGCAGAGCAGGCGGGAGCAGGGTATTTTTGAGTAGGCTTGAGCATCGGCACGACCCGACCCAACCCGACCCGACCTTGCCTGACCCGAGGTCGGGTTCGGGTCGGGTTGGGTTGGGTAAGGGTCGGGTCGGCCTTTGCATTTGGGTGACACGAATAATACAGGTCGAGTATTACCTGGCCCGGGTTCGGGTCGGGTCGGGTTGGCATAAGGGAAGGGGCGGGTCCCTAGGGGCGGGTCTAGGGACCCCCCCCTGTTTTAAAGGCCCTGATGTGGGGTTTCGCTTAGTTTGAAGCCCATGGGGGCATTTTCCCGGTGCCCCAATTCCAACAGCACCCCCTACATGGGTCACCTTCTCTCTGTTCTGATTGATTCACTATGTTTAACGGCTGAACCCCTCATTTGAGCGGAAGTCGGGCTTTCCTAGATTCAAAACGAATTACTTGCGGATTCTAAGACACTAAACCTAACGTAATCTAAGAACCATGGTGGGGAGTTAGCTAGCGCTAGGAATGGGCTGGATGTTGGGTAAAAAAGGGGGGAAACATAGGTAGCTTCTGAAAATGACCCATTTGGTCGAAATTTCGACCTATGGGTCGAACTCTTCAGATCTGCGTGGCCAGAGTCCTGCAGATCCCGTCGGGTCGGCGCGCGACCCGACTTCGGATCCAGTCAGGTCGGGTTGACCCGTCAAAATTGACCCGAAGTCGGATCGGGTCGACCTGACCCGACGGGGAATTAGCCGACCCCAGGGGTCAGGTCGACCCAATGCAAATATCGACCCGATCCAGGAGAAAGTCGGGTTCGGGTCGGGTATACCTGACCCAACCCGACCCGACCCGTTGCTCAAGCCTATTTTTGAGGTGCCTAAAAAATCTCAAAAATAGGCGCCTAAAAAATCGCCTCAAAGGTGGCACCTCAAAAGCCGCCCCCTCGCTCTGTGTGCCTGCACACAGAGGCAGCAGAGCAGGCGGGAGCAGGGGCCCGTCAACTTTTGAGGCGCCTCAAAGGAGGCCGGGGGGGGGCAGCATGGGGCACCAGCGGAGAGAGTCAGAGAGCGCCGAGCTCAGAAAAAAAAACTCGTAGTACTCGGGAGTCACTGGGCTGCATTTGATACGGGTTGGGTTGCTACCGGCTCTGCCAGGTATGCAATGCACCCCTGCTCTGAGCCAGAAACACTCGGCCAGAACAGTACTTGCTTCGACTGCTGGGCTGGTCTGGCCGCTCCTTCCAAGACGTGACCGGCGAGGAAGAGCGGCGGGATGTCGAACGTGCACACCTCAATGCCTGGTATGGGAGTAACTAACCACCGCGTGGTGTGCACTGTGCGTGGTGTGCACTGTGCATGGTGTGCACTGTGCATGGTGTGCACTGTGCATGGTGTGCACTGTGCATGGTGTGCACTGTGCATGGTGTGCATTGTGCATGGTGTGCACTGTGCATGGTGTGGATGCGCACAGCATGCTTTTCCCAGCCACCGACCTATGTACCTGTTTTGAGGCGTCTCAAAACTAGACTCCTATCACCCGACCTATGTGTACCTGAATGACAGCTACCTGATGGTGGCCTGCAGTGCAGCAGACGTGATAGAAGTTGTCTTTTGAGGCGTCTCCTGCAGACGTGATAGAATATTCTATCATCTGAATGACAGCTACCTGATGGTGGCGACCTGGCAGGCAGTGCTGCAGACGTCACAAGCGATGAAGAGCGGCGGGTTTCGAACGCGCACGCCTCACCGCATGGTCCATTTCAGGTGAGAAACACTTAGAAACACTTAGAAACACTAAGAAACACTGCACTACTACCCAACCACAGCATCATTAAAACCATCCCTCAGCGTGCCTAATTGAGCAGCACTGCCACACCTCCTCCTCCTGCTGCTGCTGCTGCTGTTGCTGCTCCTGCAGACGTCGCATGCGAGGACGAGAGGCGGGTTGTCGAGCATGCACTCCTAGATACACTACCTGGTGCACCCTAGCCTAGGCATTTCATCTGGCTCCACGGGGAAACACCATATCCACCATCCCTCGGCATACCTGCTAGGGCAGCGGATGCTGGTCTGGCAGCGCTGCAGACGTGATAGAAGTTTTGTATCAACTGAATGACAGCTACCTGATGTGGAACGTGCACCCTGGTGGTAGATACACTACCTGGTGCACCCTAGCCTAGGCATTTCATCTGGCTCCACGGGGAAACACCATATCCACCATCCCTCGGCGTACCTGCTAGGGCAGCGGATGCTGGTCTGGCAGCGCTGCAGACGTGATAGAAGTTTTGTATCAACTGAATGACAGCTACCTGATGTGGAACGTGCACCCTGGTGGTAGATACACTACCTGGTGCACCCTAGCCTAGGCATTTCATCTGGTTCCACGGGGAAACACCATATCCACCATCCCTCGGCGTACCTGCTAGGGCAGCGGATACTGGTCTGGCAGCGCTGCAGACGTGATAGAAGTTTTGTATCAACTGAATGACAGCTACCTGATGGTGAACGTGCACCCTAGTGGTAGATACACTACCTGGTGCACCCTAGCCTAGGCATTTCATCTGGTTCCACGGGGAAACACCATATCCACCATCCCTCGGCGTACCTGCTAGGGCAGCGGATGCTGGTCTGGCAGCGCTGCAGACGTCGCATACGAGGAAGAGATCCGGATTGTCGAATGAACGTGCACGCAGCGCACCTCGACTCAGCGCATGATTTTTGAGTCGACTCAAAAGTCATCTCGTTACAATGTCAAACGGAACTTTCGCTTCAAGAAGAACCACTCTCGCTTGGAGGCTGCCGAAGAGAGCTGGGAATTTCCGAATTTCTGCTCATAAGTGTTAGAACTACAGTAGATTTCGTACTGTTTGTTTTATCTTTCTTTTCCCTTGCCATCGCCGAGACCCCGCAGAGGAATGCCTCGCGAGGAGTCCTCGAGATTGGTATTTATAGGCTAGCTAGCTTGCTTATTTCTTTGTGGTCGGAAGAAGGCTCTCGAGCTGAAACTGGTTACCATCGATTTTTTTATTTTTTTTTGAAGAGTTTTCAAGCAAGCTCTCTACTATTTTACTTCAGCGTTTTTCACAGTTGCTGCCACGTAAAGACCTATGGCACCCAAGTGGTGTTCACGCAGCGCACCTCAACTCAGCGCACCTCAACTCAGCGCACCTCAACGCAGCGCACCTCAACTCAGCGCACCTCAACTCAGCGCACCTCAACTCAGCGCACCTCAACTCAGCGCACCTCAACTCAGCGCACCTCAACTCAGCGCACCTCAACTCAGCGCAGCGCACCTCAACTCAGCGCACCTCAACTCAGCGCACCTCAACTCAGCGCACCTCAACTCAGCGCACCTCAACTCAGCGCACCTCAACTCAGCGCACCTCAACTCAGCGCACCTCAACTCAGCGCACCTCAACTCAGCGCACCTCAACTCAGCGCACCTCAACTCAGCGCACCTCAACTCAGCGCACCTCAACTCAGCGCACCTCAACTCAGCGCACCTCAACTCAGCGCACCTCAACTCAGCGCACCTCAACTCAGCGCACCTCAACTCAGCGCACCTCAACTCAGCGCACCTCAACTCAGCGCACCTCAACTCAGCGCACCTCAACTCAGCGCACCTCAACTCAGCGCACCTCAACTCAGCGCACCTCAACTCAGCGCACCTCAACTCAGCGCACCTCAACTCAGCGCACCTCAACTCAGCGCACCTCAACTCAGCGCACCTCAACTCAGCGCACCTCAACTCAGCGCACCTCAACTCAGCGCACCTCAACTCAGCGCACCTCAACTCAGCGCACCTCAACTCAGCGCACCTCAACTCAGCGCACCTCAACTCAGCGCACCTCAACTCAGCGCACCTCAACTCAGCGCACCTCAACTCAGCGCACCTCAACTCAGCGCACCTCAACTCAGCGCACCTCAACTCAGCGCACCTCAACTCAGCGCACCTCAACTCAGCGCACCTCAACTCAGCGCACCTCAACTCAGCGCACCTCAACTCAGCGCACCTCAACTCAGCGCACCTCAACTCAGCGCACCTCAACTCAGCGCACCTCAACTCAGCGCACCTCAACTCAGCGCACCTCAACTCAGCGCACCTCAACTCAGCGCACCTCAACTCAGCGCACCTCAACTCAGCGCACCTCAACTCAGCGCACCTCAACTCAGCGCATGATCCTCCACCTTACTGCATACCTGCTGATGCCGGTCTGGCGGCGCTGCAGACGTCGCATGCGAGGAAGAGCGCCGGGTTGTCGAACGTGCACGCAGGGCACCTCCACATCCCCCCCTGGGTGTCAGTGGTTGCGCTTCCAGCCTTGGAGGCCGGTGATTTGGAAGCGGCTTTCCCCGCTGCCTGCTGCTGCTGCTGCTGCTGCGGTTTCTGCTGCTGGGCTGGTTGCTTCGTTTGTGGCTGCTTCGCTTGCGGTTGCTGCTTCCCCCCTTTCTGGGTCTTCGCCTGCAGCCGGCCGGCCTCCTCGTACTCGTCATAGTCATCCTCGTCCTCGTCATAGTCCTCATCGTCGTATCCGTCGTCCCAATCGTCATCGTCGTACTGTTCCTTCCCGCGCGGCATGTTGCTGCTCGCAAAACGCCCAAAGTCCTCCTTCGCAAAATGCCGGAATGTTGTTTGTTCCTCCTGCTCCTCACAATGCCCGCACCCTATAAGATTCCTCCTTAGTAGGTTTCTGAAAATACAAGATCTCAGTCCGGTAGATATCGTATCGGGTTGTGACGTCGTCAGAAACCCACCGTAATCGGCAATATAGAGATGAAAATGAGCCTTGGGAAATCCGGACGCTCGGGAATCCGGACTATCGGGAATCCAGACGATCGGGAATCCAGACGATCGGGAATCCGGGCGATCAGGAATCCGAAGAGCATCACTATTTATCTGGAACGGCGAAGGGCACTACTAATCACAGCCGCAGCCAACTGACTCCGGTCACGCCCAACAGCAGCCCTTAGCGCATCCTTGGTAGAATGTATGGCGGTGACTTCCTACAAAATGCCTTGTAGATAAGAAATTCCCGAGAAAGTGTACTGAAATGGAGGAAGAGTTGCATCTCAGGCAGTGTTGCCCAGCAACCGATTGGGAATAGAGCTCACGCCAAGGTTCAGTTACCCGAAACAGACCTTCCAAAAAAGAATTCCATTCTCAACGCAACAAATCAACCGTGGGAGGGGCCTTGTCTGTGCCTTTGAATGACCAAAGTGCATCAATGAACCTGAGCTCAATTCCGAAACTAAACGGTTTCTTTTCTAAATAGGTCCTCAAAGTCATGAGTCCCTACCACATGTTTTCCGACACGGAAAACTGGCTGTTCTCTTGTCAGGGTTTCTGGCAAAATATCTGCTTTGGAGCTGGTAACCACGGACGAAGGTCGAGAGCCTGTTCGCCTAGTCGCCAAACAAGCGGAGTTTCGTAGGGGCAGCCCACCAACCACTCCTCTGCTCTGCCCCAACTCCACATGCGTGTACATATTCTGGTTCCGTTGTTTTCAGGGGCTAAACAGCTAGCTCTGGCATGCATAAACTCAACCAGAACGTGTTCGGATACAGTGTTTTTTTTCCTTGCCAATCTCAACATTCACCTCAAACTTCCGAAGAACGTATGCGATAAGTACACCGTGAAAGAAACAAACTGTAGCGCCAGATGCCACATCCACATGACAAGTCATTTACATTTACCCTTCCCGCTTCACACCATTTCCTCCCCTTGCCACAGCATCTTTTGTTCATGCAGCCATCCAATGGATTCGCTCACTGGGCTTTCGTCTTCCTCATTGGCTCCTGTCTGCAGTAACCTGCGAGTTTTCCGAGGGAATGACGAAAAACATTGCTCTCTTGTTTCAAATTTCTTTCGGAGTTACAAATCCGTGCCCCCCTGCTCCAGCACGACCCCAATTCCTTGTGGAGAAAAAACGAACCAGGAAATATTTACACATGCAGTTCTGCTTTATCCCGGACGGATGTTACAGTTACAGGTGGGAAAAAAAACCTAGGGGCATTGTACAGCGGGTATGCCATTAGGCCCACGACATTTTACTCCATGTAATACTCCAAGGTCCGGAATTCGATAAGATCGGCCACGATGTACTCCGACTGTACGGTATACATCTACTGTTGACTTCGCTAAAAAGCGCATTAAAACATTGTGACCAATCACGACAGTCGCATAATGCCACCGACCATCGAGTCGCGCCACCCGAATCGGGTGCGATCCCAGCATGCGAGTGTCGCCAACCAACCCGCGAGTGCGATCTCAGAAATTTCTCGTGAATTGTGCTTGGAATTGCCCAGCCAATACGTGCTTGCAAGGGCGATCAGACATAATCACAACGGACCAAAAAGGCGACAGCCAGCTGGTAACCCCGTCCACCTGGCACTTTTGTATGCGCGCTGACCTGTGCATGAATCCGTACCCCCTTTTCATCCATTCTGTCTTATTATTTCGATCCTATTCTAATCCTCGTGTCAAGAAGATTCGAGGCGTTTTCCATATTTTATAACCAATGACGTAAATATTCAGGCTTTCCGCGTGACACCAACAGGTCCGTCCCAAATACGAAAACACGACCCACGGTCCCTCAATCACCATTAACCAATGCACATTTCGAAAATGTTTTTCTTAAATGTTTTTTTTTCACCTTCGTGAAAGTGTGTGATTGGTTAACGAAACCGCTCAGGCGAGTCGTCATAATTTCGTTACGTTAAGCCCTTTTCGTGAGACCAAGAAAAGGGATTTTCAAATTATATGATTTGCGCATTTTAAGCCTGCGCTGCTTGCGGAAGGTCGAGAACGAGGTGTTACTTCTATTGTCCGCAGTAATTCTGACTAGACGACAAATTTATTGAATGTTTTTTAAGAAGCCACATGAGCCCTCACATGATACGCGGCGAAGTCGCTGGTAACTTGGCCCAAGGGCCAATACGCCAAGGCACCAATCGTGAACAGAAAGAGTAAACGGCCTATGCCACCCCACCTAAAACTGTACGTGCTACTCGATAATCCATTTTGCCCGTAGTGAACCGCTCTTATTCGTCGTAGTCCATATTTGCGAGTCGCGGATTTGGAGCATAGAGCATACCCTCTGTATGCCATTCGGGGTGGCATCAACCCTAAAGTCTCACAACCGGGTGGGAGTTTTGGGTTGATGCCTCTCGAACGGTATGCGGGATCCCTATGGGTTTTATTCTTGTTCCTTCCCGTTGAAGTGTAACAGCTGTCCGAAAGTGTGAATCCTACCTTGAGGATTGTTCCTCCAGAAGGAATTGGGGTCGTGCTCGAGCAGGGGGCGCGGATCTGTCACGCCGAAAGGAATTCGAAACGAGAAAGCAAACTTTTCGTCATTCCCTCGAGTTTTCCCCAACGCGTGTTATTTAGCTTCGTGACGTACTCCACACATTCTTCCGCTCTTTCTGGAATCCGCTACCTACCGCCTTCTAGTCTGTTTCCATTTGACTACCGCAAGCAGTCAGTTTTGTCATCTCCCTAGCAGCGCTTTAGGGTTGACCGTCGGCTGGATGTTCCTCGGTCGTAGCTGGGAGCAACCTTCTCACCATCCCTCGAAGCGATGACGAATAGGTGAGTGCAGTGTGCTCAGCCTAGTTGCATCAATAGAAGTTATTGAAATCCCTAGTACCGGTAGGCTTCTGTCAGGTCGATTTCACCCATCCGCGTTGCCAACTCGAATAGATTTTAACTCCGAGTTCCTTAGGGTTCTCGGCGACTGAAGACGAGCGGTTGTTCCGTTCAGTTAAAACCCGCGGTCTGGATTGTACAAGACGGGGGGGTTTTAACTCGCGCTTCTGCCTCTAAAACAGAAACCTTCTGTTTAAACAGAAACGCGAGGCAGAAGCGCGAGAGCCTCTCTAACAGATGCCTTTTCCTTTTCCTGATTCTCTAGGTTTTCCCCTGATTGTCTCCCAAAAAAAAAAAAAAAAAAAAAAAAAAAAACCGAGCGTTTTGGGTCGCGGTACGGCCAACATCAGGTTTCTTTAGCGTACTTTCGACTTCAAGTTAGAGAGGCAATCTGCGTTGGCGATTCCCGTCGGAACCTTGATCTTGTTACTACGTTAACATAGCATCTCCTTCCTTCTTAAGTTTTCTTTAAATAGTATCCGTTCCCATATATCGTCTCGGTTACAGCGAGGTTCTACTGTCATACGTTGCAATGCGTATATATCATTTCGTACGTCCTTCGCGTGTTCGTGCGCCGGTCGAGCTCACATATAGATTTGCTCCCTTTCATAAACGCATCTACATTTTCTCTGCAGAGTTCTGTGCAAGTACTTCGTTAATGGAGCATGCAGTAGAGGGGACAGCTGTCCCTTCTCCCACGACTGGAAGGACAAACCCAACATGGTGAGCCCCCCCCCCCCTCCCCCCTGCTCTCTCACCCCCCTGTTCTGTCCCCTCCCTGTTCTCTCACCCCCCTGTTCTGTCCCCTCCCTGTTCTCTCACCCCCCTGTTCTGTCCCCTCCCTGTTCTCTCACCCCCCTGTTCTGTCTCCTCTGCCGGCCCCACTCCACCACCCCCCCTTGTCCCCCCTTCCCTCCCCCCTCCCAGGCGTGCGTCTTCTACCAGCGTGGCGTGTGCTCCTTCGGCGACCGCTGCCGTTACGACCATGTCAAGCTCAAACCCTCCTCCTCCTCTGCTGTCCCCACTCCACCGCCCTCTTCTGCTGCTCCCACCCGATCCTCCGCTGTCAGTAGCAGCGCCAGCAGCCGTGGCAGTGGCAGCGTAGCCAGCAGCACTAACGGCACTAGCAGGGTAGGCAGTGGAGATGTGAGTAACAGCAGCAGCAGCAGCAGCAGTGCCAGCGGCGGCAGCAGCAGCAGGGGCAGCAGCAGTAGTAGGGGTGCTGCTGCGAACGGTGCTTCTCAGACTGGTGTAGCTCGCAGTAACGCTGTAACACCCAGCACTGCCACAGCAACTACCGTGTGGCCTGCCCTAAAACCCCAAACCTCGGCCGTCTCTGCTACTCCCATATCCTCATCTGTAGCTAGAGAGTCCTCTTATCCAGCCAGTATACCACAGCCGTTCACTCCTCCTGCCACCACGCCCCTTCACCAGTCCCCCATCCCACTCCGTGCCGCCTCCTCTCCCTTTCCTGCTCCCTCCCTCACCTCCTCTCTCTCCTCAACCCCCTCCCGCCCCTCCTCTCTCTCCTCTGCAGCTGCAACACCCCTCTCCTCCTCAAATCCACTCCCTTCCACCACCCCCACCCCCACCCCCACCCCCACCTCCACTCCCTCCTCCTCTACCTCCCTCTCTGTCTCTGCCTCTCCCTTTCTCCCCTCCGCCTCTGCCGCCCCCTTCATTCCTTCGAGCCAATCAATGGGCTCCACGTCAGCAGGCATGAATTCAGCAGCCTCCTCTGTACCTTCCTCTAGGTTAACTCCCACCGCATCTGTTTTCTACCCGCCTGCTGCTCCTGCTGCTTCTGCTGCAGTAACAGCTGCCACTGCCACCCGTAACCGTTCCGGTCTCTACACCCCAGCCCAATACTATGCAGAGCACGCAAATGGGCCTATACCCCCTACAGACGGACTCATTTCCGGTAACAGCTACGCCCAACCCTATTCTGCCACGCACTACGTCCAGTACTCCCCTGCGCCGTCCCCCAAAGCGAATCTCGAACGAGATCCATCAGCGAGCTCATTGGACGGCCCAGATTGGCTGCCGAGATCAGCAAGCGATCTGTTTGACGAGGGTCTGCCTGTAATGCGTATGAGCAGCAGTGGGGGGGCGAGCCAGAGAGGGAGTGTGGCTGTAGGGGGGTATATTGAGAGAGAAAAGGCTGGGGTAGATGGGGCAGGAGCAGAGGGGGCAGGGGTAGGGACAGCAGAAGGGGCGTTTTCTCAAGAGGGGCGGGCTGTGCTTAGCTCTGCTGCTCTTGCAGAGAGGCATAGTCACATGGCTCCTGCTGACGTGGCAGGAGACTGGCCGTACAACGCTGACGTGGCGGTGGGGAGTCTAGTCCTGGACGCGTGGCCCGAGGGCGGCGAGTTTGCGAGTGAAGCTGAGTTTGAAGACTTCGTGCGGGAAGCAAGCGATTTTTCCGCCCAGGCTGCTGCGCTCAGAATAGGGTTAATTACCCTCATGGACGAAGACAATGCACCTGACGCTTCGCCGGCTGCTGCGGCTACTTCAGCAGCTACTGCTGCTTCGGCTTCTTTTGTTACATCAGTTACCGCACCTGATGTTCGGTCTGCTGAGGGGTCTGTGGGATTTGCGGAGAGATCTTCAGTGGCAGCTGCATCAGCTGCTGCTGCTGCTGCTGGGATTGGGCGGTCCCAGTTCTCAGCCCAAGCAGCTGCTGCTGGGGCTGGTGCGTCTGGGTTCAGCGCATCTGTGCTCCCTGCTGCTCCTGGTCCTGCTGCTGCTGCTGGTGGCAGCAGCAGCATTGAAGGCTACGGTGACTACGGTAGTGGCTATGGTGGTTACAGTGCGAATGGTGGCGCTGGGAGCAGGAGCAGCAGCAATGGCTATGGTGGCCCCATCTCTGGCTCATCGTCTGTCTCCATCCCTTCCAACTTGGCTGACAAGCCCCTCTGCACCCTGCCTCGAGCAGACAGCACTGCCGGCGCCTGCTGTGCCCGCGGCCCCACCTGCCCCTTTCCCCACGGCGACCTATGCCCCCACTGCGGCCGCTACTGCCTGCACCCTGCTCGTCCCACGGTCAGTGCCAGTTTCCTCCTAGTGTTTTCCAGCCGTCTATGGTAGTCGCTCGCTCCCCTCCTGCTGTTTCCCCCACGGTGGCCTTTGCCCCCACAGCGACCGTAACTGCCTGTAGCTGCCAAGCCCTACAGTAGGTGTTCAGCCAACTCATATTCTCCTATCGCCATGGTCTTTGCTGTTGCATACCCTCCTCTCCCCTCCTGCCCCCTCCCCCACGGTGACCTCTACCCTCACAGCGGCCGGTACTGCCCGCACAGCGGTACTGCCTGCATGCTGCCAGATGGAGTGCAGCGTGTGCCTCGAGCGCATGCTTGGGAAAGGCTTACACCATCGATTCCCACTCTCGCACTCCCTACCTCCCTTCCCTCTCGCAACACTCGCTGTCAACCCATTGCAGGAGCGGGAGGCGCACATACATGAGTGTGCGCGGCTGCCTCGATCGCGTGCTGGGCCCTAAAGCTGAGCTCGGGGATAGAGTGAAGCGTGTGCCTCGAGCGCGTGCTGGGGGGGAAGTCCTAGGCCTGGTTTCACCCCTATCCTCTATCTCTCCATGTGTGCTCTCCATTCGTGTCACAGGAGCGGGAGGAGCACATGCGCGAGTGTGCGCGGTTGCAGCGCAAGGTGCAGGCGCTGAAGCTAAGCTCCGAGATCGAGTGCAGCGTGTGCCTCGAACGCGTGCTGGGGAAGGCCCGGCCGGCCGATCGCAAGTTTGGGATCCTCTCGCACTGCGACCACCCGTTCTGTGTTGGTTGCATCCGCAACTGGAGGGCAGCAGGGCAGGTTAGTATGGGGAGAATAGGGTAGGTGTGCTCAAGCGTGTGCTTGGAGCAAGTGCTGGGAAAAGCCCGGCTGGCCGATCGCAAGTTTGGGATTCTCTTGCACTGCGACCACTTGTTCTGCGTGGGGAGTATCCACAATTGGAGAGCTGCTGGGCAGGTGTGCGTTGGGGGGGAGGGAAGGAAGGGGGAGGTGGAGGGGGGGGGAGGAGGGGGGGAGGGGGGTGAGGGGGTGCATTGTCGACAGGTGGTGGTGGGTGGGGAGTGGGTGGGAAAGGCCTGGCCTGCCGATTGCTCATTGGCATTCTCTCGCACTGCGAATTGAACATCCGTTGTGTGTCGGGTGCATCTGCAACTAGAGAGCTGCAGGAAGGTGGGGGGAGTAGGCCGAGGAGGGGATCGTTTCACAAGAAGGTGGGTGAAGAGTGGGAGGGAGGGGATCTGTTCACAGAGAGGGGGGAGGAAGAGGTATTGGAGGGGGGGAAGGGGTGTTGGAGGCCTGGCTGGCCAATCAGTCTGTAATCCTCTTGCACTGCAACCACCCCCCTCAGTTCCCACGCTCATTCCCCACTCTCTCCCCAGCAGTGAGGAATCTATTTTTGAGGCGCCTCAAAAATAGACTCCCCACTCTCTCCCCAGCAGGACAGCAGTGGTGGTGAGTGCGTCCCTTTAGATCTCGACCGACGCCACACGAGCATGCCCCGTGTGCTGCGTGTAATTCCACTTTGTTCTCCGTTCTCTCCCGTTCATCTACCGACCGTCCATCTACCCACCGTTCATCTACCCACCGTTCATCTACCCACCGTTCATCTACTCACCGTTCATCTACCCTCCGTTCATCTACCCTCCGTTCATCTACCCACCGTTCATCTACCCACCGTTCATCTACCCACCGTTCATCTACCCACCGTTCATCTACCCTCCGTTCATCTACCCACCGTTCATCTACCCTCCGTTCATCTACCCTCCGTTCATCTACCCTCCGTTCATCTACCCACTGTTCATCTACCCTCCGTTCATCCTTGTTCATGTGGGAAGTTGGGGAGTTCCCCCCTCTAGACCTCGACCGACGCCATGCGAACGTGCCGTGTGTGCTGTGTGTCTTGGGTGCGTGCAATAGCCCTTTACTATCTTCCCTCGTCTCCCCTTGCACCCCCCCCAGCAGGTAGCGGTGAGTCTGCCGCTCTAGACCTCGGCAATGCCATCCGAGCATGCCCCGTGTTCCGTGTGTGATTCCACTTCCTTCTCTTCCCTCCTCTCCCCTGCATTCATCCCAGCAGGACTTCCGTTGGGATAGTCTGCCCCTCTAGACCTTGACATGACAACGCCATAAGAGCATGCTTTGTGTGCCGTGTTCGCTCCCACTTGGTGATTCCCAGCGTGATGTGATTCATCAGCCTCGCTACTCCTTCCTTTCCCTCTCACCTTCCCCTTCCCACTCTCTTTTCTAGCAGGACAGCGGGGAGTCTGTACCCCTAGACCTTGACAATGCCATAAGAGCATGCCCCGTGTGCCGCGTGCGCTCGCACTTCGTCACTCCCAGTGTGGTCTGGTTCTTTAGCGCGGACGAGAAGCAGGATATAATCGAAGGGTACAAGAGGAAGCTCAAGTAAGAAAGGGGGAGGGGGTAGGGGGGAAGGTGTGCATGTGTGTGTGTGTGTGTGTGTGTGTGTGTGTGTGTGCATGTGTGTGTGTGTGTGTGTGTGTGTGAGTCCGCAGCGGCATCACCTCGTAAGGGGTGCTGACGTGGCGGTTAGAGAGGGGGGCACCGCGTGAGGCGGGAAACCGAGCAGCGAAAACCCCCCGCTCCCAGCGGTGGAGGGATAGCGAGGCTGAGTGCGCGGCCGTGGTTTCCCTTGCAGGCTCGGGCCACGAGACCATATCCCACACCCTGACTCTTCAATGCAGACCCAAGTTCCTACCAGGCAGCGAAACTGCTCCACCAGTTTCGCCAACGATGGTCAGTGACGCTGCAGCGGGCACAGGCCCTAGCGTACCTGGGCAAAGTTAATGAAGCCTCCCCTGCCCCCCACACCCCAGTGGGCACCCCCGACGCCGACATGGCACCTGGGGACTGCTTTGCCATAGCAGAGCCCCTAGGGGAGCTCGAGTAGACTCGAGCCCTTAAACATGCACGTACCGTGACTTGCTGCCCCTTGCCTGCCTAGCCTGTACCCAGGTTTCCAAGCAATAAACGGACCGCTTGAGAGAGAGAGTTGTTGTGTTGGTGAGGTTCCGGTAGCCCCGTCACTCACAGTGTGGAAGCAGAAGAGCATCGAGGGGTACAAGAGAAAGCTCGCTCAGGTGAGAAGAGGGGGGGAGGGAAGGTGCAAGTTCGTGTGTTTGTTTGTTGCATTTTCCTTCGTTGGCTAGCCGTTCTTGTCCTTCCCATTTCCCTCCACACCTACTCTCCCCAACAGGAACACTGACTGTCCATACTTGGCAACCCGTAACCCCAAACCTTCATTGCTAAAACATGTAACCTGAAACCTTTCAACCCTACATTGACTATGGCAACGGCCAACGCCCCTCTCCCTCATCACCTTTCCACCTCTGCCAGTGGTTGTCCCTTTCACCTCCCTCCGTACCTACCCTCCCCTGACAGGAACACTGACTGTCGGTACTTCAACTGTGGCAACGGCCAACGCCCCTCCCTCTCCTGATCTTTCTTCCCCAGGCTGCCAGTGGTTGTCCCTTCCACCTCCCTCCATACCTACCCTCCCCCCCCAGAAACACCGACTGTCGGTACTTCAACTATGGCAACGGCCAGTGCCCCTTTGGAACCAGCTGCTTCTACAAGGTGCACGCTCCTGCCCTTCTTAGGTAGTCTCTCTCTCTCTCTTCGTATCGCACAGTGCTGTTTATTGCCCACACCTTACAAGGTTATCATTACCACCATCATCAACCCCTCTTCTTCTCCCCCCCGGATCATGTTTCACCCCCCCCCACCCCACTTCCTCCCCTCTCTCCGCTGTCTTTCTCGATCACTCTTTGTCTCTTCATAAATGGTCCGCTTGTCCTTGTCTCCTCTCTCCCCCGCCCCCCCAACCCCAACCCTCTTTGTCCAGCGTGCATATCGAGTTGAAATTGTTTTGCGGTGCTTCAAGAACAGACTCCTCCTTTCCTCTCATTATTTGTTCAATTGTTCCTATCTCTATCTCCCTCTCCTCCCCATCTCCCCTCCCCGCACCGCCCCCCCTCTCTTTTCCACCACGAGAAACAGAGACAGGTGGTTGGAGTTTGGAGAAGACGAGATTGTTTTGAGGCGCCTCACAACTTCATGCATTCTCTCCCACACCCCCCCCCCCCCCCCCCCTCCCCCCAGCACGCATATCGAGACGGCCGGTTGGAGGAGATGAAATTGCGGCACCTGTCATCTGCTGATGGAAGCGCCGTCATTTCAAGAGACATCAGGTACACATGCATTTGTGTGGAAGCTTGCATGGCACGTTGTAGTTCTTGTTTGAGAGCGTGCTCCTTTTACATCACATTGTTGGTTTGATCAACGGGTTAATGTACACTTGTGTTCTTTGCTGTCTAAATTGGCAGGTTATCTGATTTCTTAGGTAATGTTGGCCAAAGACGATGAAGCCTTCTAAAAGGAGTATAGAATTACACGTGGTAATCCATTTGATCATTTTAGCCATGTGAACAACAATACGGAAATATTATCCCAACGATTCATCGTCAAACTTGGTGGTCTTTTATCCCCGGTATTGAGCGGCAACATGAAAAGCAATTCCCCTAGGAGGGTGTGCTCTGTAGATAACCGCGAGCACAGATCCATGACAGGAAATAATAGGACAGTCTAGAAAATATTTTTAGGGTCACCCGCCATAGTTCCCAAGGCAATGAGCTTACCGTCTACCGCCGATCTCAGCCACGCTGGATTAGACGCGTTCTAGGCCACACATTGGCGGTTACAGCGGGAATCCCGGAGGCTGCCCGTAGACGCGACACGGGTGCAGGCGACAACGCGCTGCATTATGGCGTGGTTTCGCATCCCGTCGCTCGCTCGCGTCGCTAACGTTTCGCTGCTGCTCATTCTGTCGCTAGCGTTCGTCGCATGCCGTCGCACGGCGGCCGTCGTGCTGCTGGTGGAGGGGAAGGAGTGCCTCACGGAGCACCTCGAGGCGAACGAGGCGATCACAGGAAGCTTCGTGGTAATCGACGTCGACAGCGCGTGGCTCAGCGACGCGGGAACCATCGATTTCGAGGTGAGGATCAACCCTGAGAACCGTTGATTCTGACGCACGTACCGCGAGCGTTAGTCTTTGATTTGAGGCGCCTCCGACGTTGTTTTCGTGGTGAGAACCGAGGTGGAAACCATTAGCTCTCGGCTTGAGTTGAGTGCAGTGAAGGATCGAACAGCGGCTAAGGTAATATTCAAGCTCCGTGAATCACCCAGGATCCAGGTGATGGAAGGTTTATTTTGAGACTATCTCGAAGTATTCAAGCTGCGTGTGTCTCCCTCCCAGGCGACGTGACTCGGATTGTAAGGAGCGGTCAGAAATGGTACGGCCTTTGAGATCAAATCTTCAAGCGATGTGTAAGTGCGTCTCGTGGCGATGCCAGGCCGGTCAACGCATCTCTTCAATCAGCACGTGCAGCCGCCTCATTGTCAAACCCTTGTCTCAGATTAGAGACGCCTCAAAAAGCCATTGTGCTTTTCAGCAGCATCAGCATCATTGTCCTCTCTCTCCAAGACCTCCTTGGTCCCTCGTGCATCCATTTCTATCTCATCAGCATGTGCAGCCACCTCATTGTCAAGTGTGTTTTGAGTCGACTCAAAACACGCAGTTTAGAGATGCCTCCCAACGCCATTGTGCAGCAGCATCGTTGTCCTCCTTGGTCCCTCTTGCTTCACTTCTTTATCCCATCCCCTACAAATGCCACCCTTTACAGATCGTAGGACCTCACAGTCTGAAGCTCTACAATGCAGAGCACAAATAATTTCCGGCTCTGGTCGATGTACTCAGGAGACTACAGCTCCCAAATCAGGAGACTACAGCTCCCAAATCAGGAAACTACAGCTCCCAAATCAGGAGACTACAGCTCCCAAATCAGGAGACTACAGCTCCCAAATCAGGAAACTACAGCTCCCAAATCAGGAGACTACAGCTTTCTGCTCGCTTTTGACCCTCTTTTCTTTTTGCTCCGGATCGTAAGCCGTACAGTGCAGAACATAATCGGAGGACAATTTCCAGTTCAGGTCCACCGTCCACGTGCTCGGGGGACTGCAACTTCTGCATTCCCCCATCGCCTCATCCTTCCTTGGCCTGTCTTTACTTGACCCGTTTCTTTCCAAATCATTGGCCCGCACAACTTGAAAATCTACAGTGCAAAGCGTAAATCCGAAAGTAATTGCCAGTTCAGGCCGATGTACTCGAGCGACTACAGCTTCTGCTGCCCTCTCTCACAAACCTCCTTGGTCCTCGTCTCTTTGCCTTTCTTACTTCACACCCCATGCTGACACCACCTTTTGTGCAGTTCATAGGCCCTCACAATCTCAAGCTCTACAGTGCAAATCGCAAGTCCGAAGATAATTTCCAGTTCAGGTCGATGTACTCGGGCGACTACAGCTTCTGCTCCCTTTTGCCTCTCCTTCTGCTCCCAATTCCTGATTTTGCCACCTTTCCAGATTATTGGCCCGCACAATCTGAAGCTCTACAGTGCGAAGCACAAATCCGAAGATAATTTCCAGTTCAGGTCGATGTACTCAGGCGATTACAGCTTCTGCATGGACAACACGGACCACATGGCTGCTACCGTGCAACTCAACTACCACATCGGCCACAAGCCGCACACCCATGAGGTGGCCAAAGATGGTAATTACATAACATCAACCAAAAAAATGTTTTTGGCTTTGGTATGTTTCATCAACTTTTGCGGTTTTTTTTTTTATTGAAGTGCTCACAATGCACTACCACTTCCTTACTTCCTTCCTCCCCCTCCCCCCGCTCCTCTTCCCCCCATTCAGAGCACATGCAGGGAGTCCTTGGTCAGGTGGAATCAATCCGCTCTGGCCTGGTGCTAGTGCAGCAGGATCAGGCCTACTTCCAAGCCCGCGATGAACGGCGACGGAGAAGTGAGCATTTTTACGCGTTTTTCGGCTTTGCATCCCCCCTCCCCCTTTTCCCATCTTTCCCAACGTCTCGTGGTCTCTGTCCCCTGATAGCGCAAGCCCCCTCGCTGATGTTGTTTGTCTATACTTGAATGTGTATGCTTCGACTGCTTGCTACATGCGCTGTCGGCCACATTTACAAGGTTTTGTCAACCAAATACCTCGGAATTCCTTCATGTTATTCGTTTCGTTCATCTTGATTTTCTCTCATATTCGCAACCGAACCTGGATTGTGTGCGCAGCAAATGAGAGCACCAAGCAGCGTGTTTTTTGGTATGCACTGCTGGAAGTTTTGGTGCTTGTTCTTGCGAATGGGGCTCAAGTGCTCATTCTCCACCACCTCTTCAACAGAGCTGCTGCCAGAAGCCGCAAGTGATAATTAGTATATCTGCGGGATTTACCTTACCGTTTGGTATCTCTAGTTATGTTATTCTAGTCTCGCTATATGTTAGTATCCGTGTACCTAGTAGGAAGATAAGTTTCTTAGATGTTAAAACCACGGGCTAAAATAGCATAGGGGGGGCTTCAAGAGCGCCGTTCTTGAAGATGGTTCTTTTGAAAAAAAACGGGTTCCCAGTACGATTTTGCGAGGTGCGTTTTTTGGACAGCTGAACAATGATACAAACGTAGTGGTGCCGATTTGACGATTGTGCGACGAGGTGGGAAACGCGTGCGCGACTCATTTGACTTTTCGCCAGCTTGGTGAAACGAAAAAAACATACCGTAATCCCCCGTATATAACACCCGCCAAAATAGTCACTCCGCGGGTGGTTTATGCGGGGGAGAGCTTATGATAGGGTGAATTTAGGAGAGCACCCGCTTTTCGGGGGTTGCATTTTACATAACACCCTCGTTTTATGCAGCAAAGAACAGTATTTCGTAGTTTTTCAAGCTCAGCTCGATTGAGAAAAAAAACGAACAGAATGAAAAACGCAATGTCAACTACCATTAGCAGCGAAAAAATGGGCAGAAACATCAACACAAGTTGCAGCGCGAAATGGAAATGTCAGCAAAGGTCAAGACTCGGGAGGATTTCGACCGTCGAATTCGCGGATTCTGTTGTGATTTGACGGTCAGAATCCTCCCGAGCGAAATCCTCCCGTCGAAGTCGCGGATTCTGTCGCGATCATGACGGTCGCAGGTGCCGCACAAACCTGGCCTTGACTATAGCACTCAGCAGGGATTGGCCAACGACGATTGGTTTGTGAGTTTCGTCGTAGCGGATGCTGTACCTCGCTAACAGTCGCTCCGCGCAGTTTTGAACACACATGGCCTAAAACACTCAAATTCAAATTGCATTTTACATAACACATGGGCACTATATTTTTCCGGGCCACTGTTAACACCCAGTCATTTTTTTAGTGAATTTTTATATACACCATAGGGTGTTATATACGGGGGATTACGGTACTGTACCTCGTATCAAAAATTGAAGAAGTGAATATTAGAGAGAGGGTACACACAGATATACCTAAGTGTTGTACCCTCTAAGAGGCTACCCTATACAGTCTATACAAACATGACAAATACACATGTTTGACACACCCCCTAGACTGCATAGGGGAATGTCCTAAACAAGCAGCTCAGGGCGGCACTACTAGTCCAACCTCTGAGACAAGGGTCTGAGAGACCAGTCAGAAGGAGTACAGACAAGGCAAGAACAAGAGCAGGGCGGCACTACTAGTCCAGCCACTGGGAGAGGACACAAGTCCAGTCTGAGTATACATATAAAGGACAGTACAAAGTCAAGGTCCTAGCAAGTGAGTGGCTACAGGAACTAGACCAAGCTATACACAGTGCCGCTGATGATCTTTAGGCGCAAGCGCCTTCGTAAAGATATCAGCCGTGTTGGCATCTGAGGCCAAGTGTACTACGCGAGCCTGACGTCGCTGCTGTAGCTCACGCAGGAGGAAGTACCGCAGGTGAATGTGCTTCGCTCTGCCCTCGAGTCGAGGCTCCTGACACAGGAGGATCATGGCCCTGTTGTCAGCGAACAGGACCGGGGCAGAGCTAGGCCGCTCACCTAAGTCAGTGAGCAAGAAGGTCAGCCAGCGGAGCTCCTGTGCCGCCATGGCACCAGCGTAGATCTCAGCCTCACAGCTGGACTGCGCCACAGACGAGGAGCGAGTAGCTCTCCACGAGACGGCACCTGAGCCAAGGCTGAAGCAGTAGCCCTGGGTAGACCTGAGTGTCTCAGCGTCGTCTGCCCACGAAGCGTCTGTGTGTCCAGTAAGGACCACTGGCCTGCGTCCTCCTAGCACTAACCCCATGCCCGATGTACTAGCAAGATAACGCAGAACCCTCTTAGCGGCAGACCAGTGCTGCAGTCGGGGTCTGCCTGTGGCCACAAAACGAGCCAGGATGCTGAGAGGGTATGCGAGATCTGGGCGAGTGCAAGTCATCAGGTACATGAGGCAACCCACCAACTCTGCGTAGGGGCCGCTGGGCTCTACCAACTCCTCAGACACTGGAGCGGGATCTCCAAGATGCCATCTCCTGCTCCATGGCAGCTATCCACTGCGAGGCCTAGGGTCCCGAGGTCGCCTCAGCGTAAGTGCGAGGGGTCGGGATGTCAAAAGCGTCTGGGTCACCCTCAGGGACTAGCAGCATGGAACAGAGATGGGGAGCAGCCTCGGAGAGGAAGGCAAGCTCAGACTGGCGGTCCTCCAGGACGTCACTGCCAAGGGCAGGAGCACCCCCGACAGACGGAGGACAGGCAGGGTCAGAGACCAGAGCGGAGGTGTAGTCAAGGCGGCGGGAAGAGGCGAAGTCAGCGACAGCAGCGACAAGGGCGTCAAGGCACGAGGCCGGAACAGACGGGTCGGTAACGAGAGAGGCAAGGACGCGAGGAACAAGAGGACGAGCGGCACGAAGGTAGTCAGACAGCGGGGGGGGTGCAACAACAAGGGAGGAAGGAGGAGGCGACGGCAAAAGGGGAGGACGAGACGCGTGGGAACGAAGCAACATAGGGTGGGAGCGCAGGACAGGCGAGGCAGGACGAGCACGGGAGGGACGGTGAGACCAGACGTGCGACGGAGGAGTCGGGTCAGGAGACAGAGGAGGGTACACAGGAGGGGAACGAGGGGGGAGACGAGCCGGGGACGAGTCCGGCGGAGGGAAAACAGGGCCGTAGACAGGAAGAGGAGGAGACGGTCGGGGAGGAACCGACGCAGGGTCGGGGGACGGCAGGCCGAGCAGGCGAAGGGCTGACACCGGCGGGGACGGCTGCTGCGGCGGCACAACGGCGACACCGGGACCGCTAGCTGCTCCTCGGCAACCCCCGACACTCTCCACACCAGCACCCCCAGAGGGACCACCCCCAGGGCTACCGGGACGAGCACCCCCAGAGGCAGCGAACGGGTGCTGCGACGGCGGCGGCGGCGGCGGCGGCAACGACGGCTGCAGCGGCGGCAGAAGCGGTGGAGGAGGGGACTGGGGAGGGGACGCCAGGGGAGGGGCGGCTGACGAGGACTGCACAGGAGGGCCACCAGAGTCAGAAGACTCCGCAACCGGGTCCACCGACGGAGGGGGGGTGACGTGGGACACACCAGAGGGGGCGGGACGGGGAAGAGGAGGAGGAGGGGCAGGGACTACCGGGGAAGGAGGGACCAGGAACAGGGGGGGAGTAACCGGGGGACCACGGTGGGGGAAGAGACGGTAGTAGGAGACGGACTCGTCAAAGGTGATGTTACGAGAGTGAAAGAAGCGGTGAGACGGCGGGTGGTAAAAGTGCCAGTCGGACGCGTCAAGGGGAAAACCGAGGAAGACGCAGGGAAGGGTGCGGGCAGTGAGCTTGTCCGTGCCGGAGGCACGGACGTGAGCAAGGCAGCCCCAGACGTGGAACGCAGACACGTCACCAGGAGACCCAGTCCAAAGACGGGTCGGCGAAACCTGCGGCTGCTGAGATGCGGCCACAGGTTAAGCTGGTGAGAAGCGTAGCGCACAGCGAACGGCCACAGAAAATGGGGTGCACCGGCATGGATCATGGAGGTGCGAGCCACCTCCATGACCAAACCGATGCGTCGCTCAGCGACCCCATTCTGCTGTGGGGAGTCCGGTAGGGTGAACGTCTGGGTGATGCCCTCCGCACGACAAAAGCGACCAAGGACACCTGAGGCAAACTCGCCACCACGGTCTGAGTGAAGACGCAAGACAGGGAGACCGCGGTGGACACGCGCAGAGACAAGCCAGGGGATGAGAGCGCCAGGCACGTCGGCCTTGCGCTCTAGGGGAAAGAGTGTGGTGTAGCGTGTGAAGTCGTCGACAAGCACAAGGAAGTAGCGCTCTCGACGCGGCCCAGGGACAGGGGCGGGGCCCCATACGTCCAGGTGCAGGGTCTGCAACGGCGCGGCGGTAGGGGGAAACGAGGAGGAGTGAGGGGCACGGCGAAGCCGACCCTCGATACAAGGCGTGCAAGGTGGGGCTGGGGAGGAGAGAAACGCAGGGAGAGAACCTGGGAGACCAAGGACAAGACCGTGCTGGGACATGTGACGCAGACGCTGGAGCGCAGGGTGGCCTAGGCGGTGGTGCCAAAGGAGGGTCGGGTGAGTGAGGGACCGACAGGAGCAGGCGGCAGCAACCTGGGTGAGCGCTCCAGCCGGGGGGGTCACGGTGTCCAAAGTGAACAGGCCGGACACCGGGTCCCGGGGGAATGTGGACAGGGGGGCACCAGTGGCGGCCTTGGTACAGACAGCATACCGCTCGTGACCAGGGAACGTAGTGGTGACGCCAAGGTCCTGGAGGCAGCCGACACCAACTAGGTTCCTGGAGAACGAAGGGATATGCAGACCTATAAGAGAGCCCGAAGGAACCGCCGGACAGGGAAGGGTGGTGGAACTGCGGGCGACTACCGGACCGCCAGAGGGGTCAGCGAGAGAAACGGCAGCAGGGACGGGAAGCGGCGTCAGGGTGGTGGAGTCGCGGAAGAAACACCGAGAAGCGCCAGAGTCCAAGGTGAAGGAACGCGAAGCAGAGGCGTCTGGCGACGGAACGACGGCGGAAGCACCAAGACTACACAAAGCAGAGGATCCTACGCCTGACGCAGCAGGGGAGGGTACACTAGGCACACCTACACTAGGCAACAGTGAGTAATAAGCGGAAAGCACACTAGAGTCAACAGCATACATCACATGCAGAGCAAAAACAATGGCATCCATGTCCATATCAAAGATCTGAATCTTACGACTAAGCAAACTGTGCCTGTCCGGGAGGTCTGGCGACGGGCCGAAGCGCTGACGAAAGAGGTCGTCCAGGCGACGAAAACAGCGGGGAGTGGAGTGACCGATCTTACCGCAAACGAAGCCGCGGCGAGGACCGGTCTGGATCTGGTACTGACAGCGCCCGCCGCCAGAGCTACCACTCGACACACCACCACGCGCCCGGCCACCGCCAGCGCCGGGCCACCCGGGCGGGAGGACACTCGTCTGCCGCGTCTGCGACGGCTGCGGCGGCTGCTGCGACGGCTGCGACTGCGGCGACTGCTTCGGCTGCTGCAACTGCAGGGGCGGCGGCTCAGCTGGACTGGGCAGGGTCCCCTCGTCCGTTCCAGCACCAGACGACCCGACCCCACCACTACCCCCTCCCGCACCCCCGCCGCCGCCTCCGCCGCACCCAACCTTGGGGCGGCGGCCCTTCCCCGAACGAAACTGCGCCGCAGCAGCAGTCTCAGCCACTGCGACAGAGCCGTCGGAGAAGGTACACTGGGCGGGGGCACAACCCTGAAAGATAGGGACAGGCACGACACCGCTCGCCTGGGCGATGGAGCGGTGACGGGTCTCTATCACAGTCAGGGTGTCTACAAAGTCAGTGAGGTTGAGGTCGGCAGGGTGAAGGCTAAGGAAGCGGTCGCGGGCGACAGCAAGGCGGTCAGGGAGGCGGGTGGCAAGCAGGTAGAGGGTAGAGGTAATGGGCGGCTGGTGGGCTCTAAGCTGTGCGTCAGTGCAAGCGGCGCGCCAGGTCTCCTCTATCGAGCGCAGGTGGGCAGCGAGGTCAGAGACAGTGGGGAAAGAAGCAAGGTCAGGAAAGAGCATCGGGAGGATCAGGCGACCCACCGAGGCAGCCGGAGGGGTGGAATAGCGCTTTATGACGGCATCTAAGTAGGCCTGAGCAGTAGTGAGGGACCTAAAGCGAGGACGCTCGGACGGGGGGAGGGCGTTGCTAATGGCAAGCTGGGCGACAGCATCGCGAGAAAGCCAGACAGAGCGCGCACGGGCAGTGGCAGCAGTAGACTCACGCTCAGTGGGTGTGGGGTCAGCGGGCAGAATAGCAGGGGGGTCTGGGCAGGGGAGCGTACCGTCAAGGTGTGCGGAAAGCGGTTCACCATCCTGCCGCTGGCCAGTGAGTTGGCGGCGGAGGTCGGCAAGCCACGCCTCGAACTCTAGGGGCTGACCTTCAGCGTCGAAGCGAAGCTCCGCCGCCATCAGGAACAGTCCAGTGCGGTGCAGGGCAGTGCAGTGCAGTGCAGTGCGGTACAGTGCGGTGCAGTGCGGTACAGTGCGGTGCAGTGCGGTGCAGCGCGGTGCAGTGCGGTGCAGTGCGGTGCAGTGCGGTGTAAGGCAGTACAGTGTGGTGCGTGGCGGTACGGTGCAGGGCAGTGCAGGGCGGGGTGGGGGGGGAACCGTTCCAGTGAGGAGGACGGGGCCGGGGCAGCGGGGCCGGGCAGGTGCGACCGGGCCGGGCGAGGACGACGGGGCCGGGCGGGCGCGACGGGGCCGGGCGGGCGCGACGGGGCCGGGCTGGTGCGACAGGGCCGGGCCGGGGCGACGAGGCCGGGCGAGCGCGACGGGGCCGGGCAGGGGCGACGAGGCCGGGCGGGGGCGACAGGGCCGGGCCGGTGCGACGGGGCCGGGCGGGCGCGACGGGGCCGGGCTGGTGCGACGGGGCCGGGCGGCTGCGACGGGGCCGGGCAGGGTGCGACGGGGCCGGGCGGGTGCGACGGGGCCGGGCGAGCAGGACGGGGCCGGGCTGGTGCGACGGGGCCGGGCGAGCGCGACGGGGGGCCCAGGACGGGCGCTGCAGGGGCCCAGAAGGGGCGCGACGGGGCCCAGGAGGGGCGCGACGGGGCCCAGGAGGGGCGCGACGGGGCCCAGGAGGGGCGCTACGGGGCCTGGGAGGGGCGCAACGGGGCCGAGGAGGGGCGCTACGGGGCCTGGGAGGGGCGCGACGGGACCCAGGAGGGGCGCTACGGGGCCTGGGAGGGGCGCGACGGGGCCCAGGAGGGGCGCTACAGGACCCAGAAAGGGCGCGACGGGGCCCAGGAGGGACGCTACGGGGCCCAGGAGGGGCGTTACGGGGCCTGGGAGGGGCGCGACGGGGCCCAGGAGGGGCGCTACGGGGCCCAGGAGGGGCGCGACGGGGCCCAGGAGGGGCGCTACGGGGCCTGGGAGGGGCGCGACGGGGCCCAGGAGGGGCGCTACGGGGCCTGGGAGGGGCGCGACGGGACCCAGGAGGGGCGCTACGAGGCCCAGGAGGGGCGCTACGGGGCCTGGGAGGGGCGCGACGGGGCCCAGGAGGGGCGCTACGGAGCCCAGGAGGGGCGCGAAGAGGCCTAGGAGGGGCGTTACGGGGCCTAGGAGGAGCGCGACGGGGCCCAGGAGGGGCGCTACGGGGCCCAGGAGGGGCACGACGGGGCCTGGGAGGGGCGCGACGGGGCCCGGGAAGGGGCGCGACGGGGCTAGGGGGGGGGTCGCGACGGGGCTAGGGAGGCGAGCGGAAGCGGTAGGTGGGGGGGATCCTACCTACGCGTGATACCATATCAAAAATTGAAGAAGTGAATATTAGAGAGAGGGTACACACAGATATACCTAAGTGTTGTACCCTCTAAGAGGCTACCCTATACAGTCTATACAAACATGACAAATACACATGTTTGACACCTCGGATATATTCGGCGTTCGTGTTCAAGCTGAAATAAATCAAGCTTCACATTACGAGGCACCCTCGACCGCGACTTGCGACTAGGGCAAAGGTGAACTGTGCAACTTGTGAGCCGAACAGCCACATGGGTTGCGCGAAATGCGACCTTGTTGAACCTCGGGTTAAAAACCTATTGCACACCCATGGAGCTCTTGAAAAAGCTGAGTTGTGTGTTAAAATTATCTGAGTTATAATTTAATATAGGCTTGGTAGGTTGTTACTGAACCTTTCTGTAGAGGGTACAAACCCCTCCTTGTACTCCTCTCTCTTCCTAATCAGCTCTCTTTTCTCTCGACACTCTTGCCTACTCTCCTAGCTAAACTCTGCCGCCACATCTATGGCGGCTTTCTTCCTGCCTACTGCTAAGTTGTCAAACATGTGTATTTGTTATGTTTGCATAGACTGTATAGGGTCATCTCTTAGAGGGTACAATACTTAGGTATATCTATCTGTACTCTCACTCTACCTATTATTTTTTTCTCTCAGTCTGATATGGTAACAGAGCAGGCCGTTTCCGGTCCTGCCTTCCACGCTTCCGCCTCGTCCTTGTCTTACGTTTCATTTCGTACCGTGCCGCTGATGGCGGCCTTTCGTTTTCCTGCCGCCGTGGCGGCCTTGCCTTTCCGTGCCCCCGTGGCGACTTCTCTGAGATGCCGCGGCGGCTTAGTCGAGCTACAGTCGCACCTCCGCCTCGCCGCCGCAGCATCGACGTCGCGCTGTGGCGGCGTCTGTTGGCTGCCGTGGCGGCGTCATCGGGCGACAGCCGGCCGCGCATCGTCAATGGTGCCGCCGGACCTGCCGCCCGCTCTGCAGCCGCCGGCGTGAGTCTGGACTACGCCCCACGCCCCTCTCCCCCCCCCTCCCCCCTCCTTCCCCTGCTTCCCCCCCCTTCCTTGCTGCAGCCAACGACTGCCTCATGCGGGCCCTCCCCACCGCCAAGGTGACTGGACATGCCGCCGAGAGGGCGGGGGCCGCTGCACCAGCCTCTGATACCATGTTAAAGAAGCTCTAGGCTAGGATACTAGGCAGGAACAAGGCCGCCATGAATGTGGCGGCGGGGTTTAGCTAGGAGCTGGACGAGAGTGTCGAGAGAGAAGAGAGAGATGGATTAGGAAGAGAGGGGAGTACAAGGAGGGGTTTGTACCCCCTACAGAAAGGTTCAGTAACAACCTACCAAGCCTATATTAAATTATAACTTATATAATTTGAACATAAGTAACTACTTTAACATGGTATCGAGAGCAGGACGCCCTCCCTGGGCCTGCTCCCCTCCATGCTTCCGCTGCGTTTACGTTCCCTGCCTCCCACTTTCCTGTCGCCGTGGCAGCTTCTCCGACGAGATGCCGCGGCGGCTTTTGCTTTTTGCTGCCGCCGTCTCAGCGTCGCCGAGCAGCGGCAGCGACGATGCCGAGCCGTGGTGGCGCCGTCGAGGTCCCGTGGTGCGGCGGCCTGGCGGCGTCGTAAGGCGCACGTAGCGGCGTCGTCGGGCGACAGCCGACCGCTCGACGTCAGTGGCGCCGCCGGACCTGCCGCCCGCTCTACCGCCACCGGCGTAATTATGGACTTCGCCGCGCCCCTCCCCCCCCGCCTCCCCCTTCTTCCCCTGCATTCCCCACCTCCTTGCTGCAGCCGACGACTGCCTCATGAGGGCCCTCCCCACCGCCGAGGAGACTGGCCATGCCGCCGAGAGGGCGGGGGCCGCCGCATCAGCCTCTGACGTTCGCGCCGTAGCTGCCGCCGCTGTTGCCACGGGCCGGGCACCGCCGCACGCCGCCGCCGCCGCCGATGTCGTCAATGACGCTGCTGCCGCCATTGCCATCCCATGGGCCGTGGGAGCTGCCCACTGATGGAGTCGTTGCGGCTCCTGCTGGGAATGGGGGTGCTGGGTTAGGGGGTGTGGGTGTGGGTGTGGTTGTGGGGGTGTGAGTGGGCTTGACGCTACCAAGCTTAGGGGGTGTGTTAAAATTATTTTAGTTATAATTTAATATAGGCTTGGTAGGTTGTTACTGAACCTTTCTATAGAGGATACAAACCCCTCCTTGTACTCCTCTCTCTTCCTAGTCAGCTCTCTTTTCTCTCGACACTCTCGCCTACTCTCCTAGCTAAACCCCGCCGCCACATCTATGGCGGCTTTCTTCCTGCCTACTGCTAAGTAACTACTTTAACACTGTGTGAGCGGTCAGTCGCAACTTCATCCGACGAGCATCTGACGCCAAATAAATCGTCGCGCACCAATAACGTAGCAAAGCTGCTTCGCATTACAGACAATTTCGGGTCCCATACCATTTCGGAAATAGCAAACGCACCAAAGGGTCTGCCCCTAAACGAAACATTTTTTCAAGAGCTCCTCAGGTGTGCTATTCTAGCCTGTGGTTTTAAGTGACGGGTTTTGCTAGATCTACATGTGCTGAGGGAGGTTAATATTGTAGAAGTCCTGGTTACGTTTCGACTCCAATTTCGGATCGAAGCTTTCTCAGAACTGGCTCGTTTTCCCACGCATTCTGGCAGGTGTTGCACCTCAGTACACACCGTGTCACAATATGCAACTTTCCTACGGAAGATGCACATTACAGTCAATTTGTACCACCTTCCCAAATGATATCCCAGACGCCTTCATATCTCGAGGTTAGATCCCTATGCATGTGTTTCTCCCCTTCCTGAAAAGTTTGCACTGATACGTTCATCCATTCGTACGTGGCAAGCATGGACAGGCGGCGTACGCCACGTGTATTTTACGCTTTCTTCTGAGTAATGCAGCCGTGGCATCACTTTCCCTCCTTGCAAGCAAACTGAATCCGTCAGGATCGAACCGCGACAACCTCCAGCACGGCGCGCCTGGGATTCCTCCCTGCTGGTCGCCTCACTTGACCCAACCACACCACACAATACTCTCCTTCCAGGCAACTCTCATTCGCTGCGACAGTTGACGACTTGTTACAAAAAAATCGCGACAGGAGGGACCGGCTCGCAATCCACACAGCCTACGGCGCGAAAACACGAATGTCCTGTAATTCCTGACGGCCAAATCTGAGGCCTAGAATCAAGCTCCTGATGGCTGTCCCGTTTCCTAGCGGTCTAACAGTAAGCCTATTCTGGGCATTTTCTAGGTACCGTTCATTGCGCGGCCAACATATCTGTTCCTAGAGGTCATCCTACGAAGCACCTCTGCGGTGCCTGCTGGAGAACCAAATAACGCATTCGCGTAGCTCACTTCCAGAAGCCGTCCTCGTCCTAACCATTCCTTTTCACTCAGTCTTAGACCTTCCAATCTGCTAACTAGAGCCTCACGACAACTTCTTACGATAGACAAGAGACTTGACGTCGTCTTGGAAGAGTTTTTAGGATAAAACCCCCCTGGTCAAACTTCACGCCGACATGGCCACGTCAGCAACGTGTAATATCCAGCTAGGCGCACTTGGCGCACAGTCAGTGCGGCGGGAGATCAGCCGCCATTCAATATCGCAACGTAGTCTGCGGTTCGATGGCCGACTCGATGGGAGACTCTGCTCCGCTTTTTTGTCCGGAAATCAGAGCGAAAGATCCACGATTTCAGGATCCTGTAGTTCCATTTTCCAGGGGACCAACCTCAGACTACCGAGGAATAAGCTTGTTACGAGGACTCCAGGAAATTTCTCGTCGCGGCTATCGGTGCGAGCCTCGGCAGTTTCGAGGAATGGCGACACTCGCGAGGTGTGGGAGGTGCCGCCGTCGTGGCGCGATTTCCCAATTGGTGAGTACAACGATCGTGATTATAAAGAATAGATACCTAATTCCGTAGCTGCGATGACCAGATGTGACAGTGCCAGCCATGGCTCGCGTCTACAACTTCTCCAGCCTCAAGCATTCCCATTCTCCCGTTTGTCTGTGTTTTGTTTGTGAGAATTCTCAAGAACAAAACACACTCAAGCACTCACTCCCATGTTCCCAGTTGGCTCGTGCCCCGCATTCCCATGGTCCCCTGCGCCTTCCCCTGTTCCTCGCAACCCGCACCGTCGCAGGCGTTGCGGTACTGCTTGCAACAGAGCGCGCGCTCGCAGGCAAACCGCGCGCAGCTACGGCTTCCCATCAGCTTCCCCCCTTTCCCCCTGTTTTTTCCCGCAGTCCGCACTATTGCAGGCGGGGCGTTGCTCTTCGCTATAGAGCGCGCGCTAGCAGCCACCGCTCGCGCCCACAGCTTCCAATCAGCTTTTCCCTCAGCTTCCCCTCAGCTTCCCCTCAGCTTCCCCTCAGCCTCCCCTCAGCTTCCCCTCAGCTTCCCCTCAGCTTCCCCTCAGCTTCCCCTCAGCTTCCCCTCAGCTTCCCCTCAGCCTCCCCTCAGCTTCCCCTCAGCTTCCCCTCAGCTTCCCCTCAGCTTCCCCTCAGCTTCCCCTCAGCTTCCCCTCAGCTTCCCCTCAGCTTCCCCTTAGCTTCCCCCCTTTCCCCCTGGGTCCTCCGCAGTCCGCACCATCGCCGGCGTGGCGGTTCTTTTTGCAGTAGAACGCGCGCTAGCAGCTACAGCTTCCCCTCAGCCTCCCCTCAGCTTCCCCTTAGCCTCCCCTCAGCTTCCCCCCTTCCCCCCTGTGTCATGCAGTCCGCACAATCGCGGGCGTCGCCGTGCTATTCGCGATCGAGCGGGCGCTCGCAGCCACCGCGCGCGCCTACAGCTTCCCCGTGCCCGCGCCCGTGCTGATGCTGGCGGGAATCGGCGCGCTTATGGCGACCGGGACTAAGGCGGCGGAGATGGGTGAGTGATTGCGGGGGAGAAGAGGGGGAAAGGGGAGTTGGGAAGGGTTGGTGGAAATCGGCGCGCTTATGGCGACAGGCTCTGAAGCCTCCAGAGTAGCAGAAGGTTCCGATTCGAACCGCAGCAACCGAAACCGATCCTTGTGTTGCGTCAATCGAATTTTATCTTAAAGTGGAACTTACGGGCTGGGTGGGTGGTTCACTCGAGTAGGGCAATGATGGAGAAAGGACGGCAACGATAATGAAGCCGCCATGGAGAGTGCTGAGTGTCTGAGAAGGAGAGCAGGAACGAGATGGGAATGAATTGATGAACGCGAATGAATTGATGAACGCGAATGAATTGATGAACGCGAATGAATTGATGAACGCGAATGAATTGATGAACGCGAATGAATTGATGAACGCGAATGAATTGATGAACGGAGGGAGCGAAGAAGAGTAAAGGAGGAGAAGAGGAGTCGTAGGGACTTTTCTCTTCCGTGTGCCGTTGCCACTCGCTTTTTCTTCTTCTTTTGTTGACGAACTCGCATATTTTATCTCCCGCCTCACGTGCTCTCTTTTCCCTCCACGTGGCAGTTTATGACTGGTCCTACCCCGCCATCTCGTTCTTCGACCAATGGATGCCCCTCTTCTTCGTCCCCTCCGTCGTAAGCCCAACCAACCCCACCGATTCCCCGTTCCTTCCCCCTCCCCCCACCCCCACCGATTCCCCGTTCCTTCCCCCTCCCCCCACCCCCACCGATTCCCCCTGCCCCCTCCCTCCCTTAAACCACTCTCTCGCTCTCACTGAATGTGAGACTGCCAGCTTTCCCCCATGTCGTCTTCGTCCCCTCTGTTGTAAGCCCTCTGGGCGACTCCAACAAGCCCAACCACCCCCACCTATTCCCCCGTCCCAAAACCCCCGACCACTCTCACTGAATGTGAGACTGCTAGCTTTCCGCCATGTCGTCTTCGCCCCTTTCATTGTAGGCCTTCCTCCTTCGCCCATCACACCTTCCTCGTTCATCCTTCTCTCTCCCCCACCCCCCCCCTCCCCTCCCCCCACCCCCCCCTCCCCTCCCCCCACCGCCCACCGGCACCTTCCTCCCCTCTCCGCCCACCTTGCCTTTTCCCCCGTTAATCTCCCCTCTCTGATCTCTCTCGTCCCCTTTGCCCTCCTATTCTCTCACAAGACACAACTTCTCTCCTTTCTCTTCCCCTCCCCCGCCCCTCCCCCCAGGCATCTATCGCTCTCGCCCCCCTCCCAACCGGCATAGCCCTGACCAAGTCCATCGCCCTCCTCCTCTCCTCCTACCTCCTCACTCTCTTCCTCTCCGCCCTCCTAGCGCGCTCCATAGGCTACCTACTAGACTCCTGGGGGTCCTTTGTTACTAGCCTGGCGGAACGGGGGCGGAAGGGCGCGGGGAGGGGGGGGAGGCGGAAGAGGGGGCCGTTGGGGGACGGGAGCATGAGCGACGGGGAGAAGGTGGAGCGGCTGGGGGATGCTGCGCGCATGTGGGGGAAGCAGGCGGCCCAAGTGGGCGCCAAGGCGCTGGCGAAGGCAGCTATGGGCGCAGGGGAGAAGGACGTGCAGCAGGTGAGGGGGGGGTGGTGAGAGGGGTGCGGGAATTGGAGTGCATGCTGGTACGCAAACACAACAACTCACACACCTCAGGTGGGGGTCAAGGCGCTGGCAAAGGCAGCTATGGGCATGGGGGAGAAGGACGTGCAGCAGGTGAGAGGAGGGGGGTGGGAGGGAGAAGCGGCGGGGATGTGGCGCGTGCTTGCACTCGGACCCACTTACACACTCCATCACACAACACACACACACACACACACACACACACACACACACACACACACACACACACACACACACACACACATGGACGAGCCGCCTACCTGGGGGGAGCTCGAATCGACAATTGAAGCCACCTTGGACGGGTGGCCCGGGAGCCCGGGACCCGCATAAACCGGTGTATGTCAATTGTAACCATTATAAGGCTAATACGAAGGACCGTTCGAGAGAGAGACACCCCTTCAAACATGCCGCCTGTCTTCTCCGTCTCGCCGCCAGTTGGCAGTGAAAGCAGCCAAGGCGCTGGACAAAGTGGCAGACAGCATCAAGACCCCTTTAAGGCAGAAGCTGCCACTATATTTCTTATAATCGGCTGCCTCTCTTTTGCCCCTTTCCCCCACCTCTCGCCCCCAGTTGGCAGTGAAAGCAGCCAATGCGCTGGACAAAGTGGCAGACAGCATCAAGATTCAAGACCCCTGCAAGGCAGAAGCTGCCGCTTCCTATCTTAAAGTGTGCTGCCTCTCTCTCCCTTGTCCCTCTCCCCTCCCTCTCACTCTTGCGTCAGTTGGCAGTGAAAGCAGCCAAGGCGCTGGACAAAGTGGCAGACAGCATCAAGACCCCCGCCAGGCAGAAACTGCCGCCGCTACCCCTGTCCTCAGCTAAATACCTCTATCTCGCCGCGGCTGTCATGCTCTCACCTGCGCTCCTAACGCCCGTGCCCACCGCACCAATGGTAAGCGCGTGGTGAGCTCGTTTCTGTGTTTGAGGCGTCTCAGACACACAGCTCTGCTGCTCTCCCTGTCCTCGGTTAAATACCTCTATCTCGCCGCGGCTGTCATGCTCTCGCCTGCTCTCCTAACGCCCGTGCCCACTGCCCACTGCCCACTGCCCACTGCCCACTGCCCACTGCCCACTGCCCACTGCCCACTGCCCACTGCCCACTGCCCACTGCCCACTGGTGAGTGATGAGTCATCTAGGTTATGTTGAGGCGCCGCTACCACAACTATCTCTCCATCGCCGTCTTCCAACCCTCCTCCTCCGCCAAGGCGTATGCATCACAATCCCTCCCCTGCCCCACATCCCCCATCCCCCGCCCCACCACCCCCCTTCCCCTGCCCCGCCACCCCCCCTCCCCTGCCCCCCCACCCCCGCTTCAATTTCTGCAGGTGGCGCCTGGTCGTCTCCTTCTCTCCATGGCTGTCGTCCAATCCTCCAAGGCGTGCGCATCATTCCCCCCCCTTCCTGCCCCTCCATCACCCCCCTCTCCCCTCCCCACTGCAGGTGGCGCCTGGTCTTCTCCTTCTCTCCATCGCTGTCTTCCAGTCCGCCAAGACGTGAGTATCGCGTTTTCCATCAGCCCTTCGCCCCCCGCCCTCACCCCTTGGCGCTGCCTCCCCTCCCTCCTCCTCCCCTCCTCCGCCAAAACGTCTCTCCGCCCGTCTGCCCACTCTTCTCCTCTTCATCGCGGTCCTCCAGTCCTCTAAAACGTGAGTATCGCTTTCTCCATTCCCCATTCCCCCGTCCACCCCATTCCCCGAGCCGAAACCGGTTACCATCATTTTTTCACAAGAGTTTTCAAAGCAAGCTCTTTACTTATTTTTTACTTAAGCGTTTCTAGTTGCTGCCACGTTAAGACTTATGGCACCCAAGTGGTGTTCACTCCACACCATCCCCCCGTCCACGCCACCCCTCTCCCAACCCTGCGTGAGGAGTCTATTTTTGAGGCGCCTAAAAAAAAATTCCTCCTCTCCGTTGCTGCCTTCCAGACCTCCAAGACGTGTGCACCACACCATCCCCCCCGTCCACACCCTTCCCCCCGTTCACCCCGCCCCTCCCCCAACCCTTTGCCTCACTCCCCCCTCCCGTCACCATCCTTGCCTCCCCCCTTCGCCCTCCTTTCCCCTCGACCTTCCTTTTTGCTAAGCTTCCCTCCCTGCTCTCGGAGAGGTTATTCCTTACTTTTGAGTCGACTCAAAAGCAGCCTTGCCCTTCCTCTTCGCTAAGTTTTCCTCCCTGCTCTCGGAGAGGTTATTCCTTTCTTTCTTTTCCAGGCGGCCCCAACATACTCTCTGTTCCATAGCCCCGGGCCACCTGCCCCTGCTCCCGTCTCCCCCCCCCTCCCCCTCCACCCTTGTCTCCCTTGCGGCCCAATGTGGCTTTTGAGTCGACTCAAAAGTCACCCCGTCTTACACCCCCTCCCCCTCCACCCCTGCCTCCCTCTCGGCCCAATCCAGCCTACCTGCCAACATCCGCTCGCTGCTGGTCCCCACGGTGGCAGCAGGCGGAATCATGACGGCCATGATGGCCATGTACGGCTCCTACGCGCTCAACAACTGGCAGGCGGGAATTCGCCTGTACTCGCAGGGCGCAGGTGAGCGATGGGTTTTGATGCCCCTCCTATGGTGCGGGTGAGCGATGGGGGGGCTGTGTGTGGCTGGTGGCAGGGGCTGTGGGGGATGCATGGGCAGCAGGTGTCGTGGAAGTCAGCAGGTGGAGTAATGACCTCCCTGACAGGCATGTACGGTGAGCTACTCGGCTTGTGTTGAGGGGGATTGTGCCAGTTGTTCCTATGCTGAGCTGCCACCGCTTCACTCCCCAGCATCAGGGCTCACTTCAGCGCCTAACCTAGGCTTCCCTCTTCTCCTCCCTCTTCTCCTCCCTCTCCTCCTCTCTCGCCTTCTCCCTTTCCTCCTCGCTTTCCTACTCCCTCTCCTCCTCCCTTTCCTCCTCCCTCTCCTCCTCCCCTTCCTGCTCTTTTGCGCTTCCCTCCTCCATCCCCACCTTCACTGCTTCCCTCTTTCTCTCCCCTCCTTCCCTTGTCTCCTCTTCTCTCCTCCCTGCCCTCACAGGTGCATTTCTGGTGGCTTTGATTGGCCCTGCTGTGGGAGCGTTGGGCTTTAAGGTGCGTAATATTCTACATGGGCATTCGTTCAGGTGGAAACTTGGATTGCCTATGGGAGTGCTAGGCTTCCAGGCAGGCATTCAGCTTCAGCTTTAAGCTGGTAGGCATTCAGCTTTAAGCTGGTAGGCATTCAGCTTTAAGTTGGATTGTGTTTTCTCCGTAACATCTCAGTCGTAGCTGACCGGATGTGGTTACCTCCTTTTCTCCTTCCCCCCATCCAGGTACATACTAGCCTTGTCGGTCAATTTAAGTTAGATTTGTGCTTTCTCCGTAACATCTCCGAAGTAGTTGACTGGATGTGGTTACCTCCTTTTCCCCTACCCCTCATCCAAGCATACACTAGCCTTGTCGGTCAATTTAACAGCCCTCCTCCCAACGACCCCCTGTCCCCCCCCCCCACTTCCCCCTTCCGCCCCTTCCCCTACATCCGCGTCTACATGGAGAGTCTCTTCTCAAGAGATACGTGCCTGACATGGCTGTGCTACTGTGGTGTGCCCCTTGTCTGTCCTCCCCTCTCCCCCTTCCCCCTCATTCCGTCCGCCCCATCCACGCCACTCAGGTGCACACGGAGAAGCCCCTGCTCAAGAGATATGCACTTGATATCGCTGCCACGTGTGCTATCATGGCGCCAGTGTGAGTCTTAAACTCATGCTACAAAGATCCCTCAAATCAAACCATGCTCCCTGTACTGACTCGCCTCTCCCAGTACGCCGTCACTCATGGTCTTGGGAAGAGCAGCAGTGCGAAGTTAGTCGCCGCCGTCTCCCTGTACTGACTCGCCTCTCCCAGTATGTACTGTTGATTCTCTCTCCATGGCACTGACTCGCCTCTCCCCCCCCTCTCTCTCCATTGCACTGATTCGCCTCTATTTTTGAGGCGCCTCAAAAATATATTCGCCTCCTCCCCCCTCTCTCTCCATGGTGCTGATTCTGTGCAACGCTGTCAGTCAAATAGTCACCTTCGTGTCGCTCAAATGTCACCTTGAGTCGCTTAATGCTGACAGCGCCGGGACGGCCCTTCATGGCGCCTAGTTTTGAGGCGCCTCAAAACTCGCTCAAATGTCACTTTGAGTCGGCTTAACGCTGACAATGCTGCGGCGGCCCTTCATGGCGCCCTTCTCTCCCTCCTGTTTCTTTCTCCCCCGTTCTCCTTGCCCTCTCTCCCGCATCACCTGGTTGTTCCCCCTTAATTCGTCCCCCTCTCCCCCTTCTCCCTTCAGAGCCAGTTCAGTGTGACAGCTCTGCTAGGAAGACTGCTCATGTCTCCTTTCCCCCCTCTATCCATTCGCCCTCTCCGCCATCCACTCTACCTCTCCTCTCGCCCCTCCCTCCCCTTCTCCACACCACAGTCAGTTCGTCGTGACAGCACTGCTAGGAAGACTCCTCATGGCGCCAAAGCTGGTCGTCAACTCGCTCATTCCCTCGCATGTACGGTCAATGGCGCCAAAGCTGGTAGTTGCGGTGCGATGCATATTAGGGTTTCATATCCTGCCTGGGGGATCCTGCCTGGGGGATCCTGCCTGGGGGATCCTGCCTGGGGGATCCTGCCTGGGTGATCCTGCCTGGGGGATCCTGCCTGGGGGATCCTGCCTGGGGGATCCTTCCTGGGGGATGCTGCCTGGGTGACCCTGCCTGGGTGACCACTCTGGGCCTCGCCATAGAGATGGGGCCTCTGATCTCTGCCAGCACAGGGCTGGATGTGCCTCTGCAGCCGTCTCAACTCTTCTCCCCCTCTCCCCCCACATTCCTTCATTCCAGACCACGCTGGGCCTCGCCATAGAGATGGTGCTGCTCCTCTGTGTGCCAGCACAGGGCTGTTGGTGGCTGGTAGGCTGGTTGAATCATTCCTCACTGTCTCTTGCTAACCCACTCCGCTTGGCCCCTCCCCTCTTCCCTCCCCCAGACCACGCTAGGCCTGGCCATAGAGATGGTGCCGCTCCTGTCTGGCAGCACTGTGCTGGATGTCCAAATCCCAACCTTCCCTTTGCTAACCGTTACATTTTCTCCCCCCACCACGCCCCCCACCTTCAGACCACGCTAGGGCTGGCCATAGAGATGGTGCCGCTCCTCTCTGCCAGCACAGGGCTGGTGGTGGCGGGTGTGACTATAGCGGGCACCACTGGCATCAGCACAGCCAGGACTTTGCTGGATCAGTGGAAGGTACGAATGGGGGAGAGAGGAAGAGGGACTGGTGTGACTATAGCGGGCACCAACGGTATTAGCACAGCCTGGACGCTGCCGGATGAATGGAAGGTGAGCTGCTGGGACTGGGAATAGGGGGAGAATGATGGGGGTTGGATGGGGGCAGGGGAGGGGTGTGTGTGTGTGACTATGCGGGCACCACCAGTATTAGCACAGCCAGGGCGCTGCTGGATCAATGGAAGGTCAGCCGCCAGGACTGGGAATATGGGGAGAATCATGGGGGTTGGATGGGGGCGGGGGGGGAGGGGTGTGACTATAGCGGGCACCACCAGTATTAGCACTTTCCTGGACCAATGGAGGGTGAGCTGAAAAGGGTGTTTGAGATACAGCAGGAGGGATTACGGGTGGGTGTGACTATAGCGAGCACCACTGGTATGGATATGGGGAGGGAGCACCAGGGGAATGGAATGTATGGGGAGAAATATGGGGGGAAGGAGGTGGGGAAGAGGAGTGTTAAGGGTAGGTAGTTTCACTCACAGTTCGTTTCTAATATTAATTTCTAAGCCTCTCGCTCATGGGAGAGCGAGATGCGAGGCTTTCTTCCTTTGTCCTCGCCGAGGTGACTTTTGAGTCGACTGGTGTTCAATTTCTTCCTTTGTCCTCGCCGAGGTGACTTTTGAGTCGACTGGTGTTCAATTTCTTCCTTTGTCCTCGCCGAGGTGACTTTTGAGTCGACTGGTGTTCAATTTCTTCCTTTGTCCTCGCCGAGATGACTTTTGAGTCGACTGGTGTTCAATTTCTTCCTTTGTCCTCGCCGAGGTGACTTTTGAGTCGACTGGTGTTCAATTTCTTCCTTTGTCCTCGCCTCTCGCCCTTTCTCTCTTCCTCTGCCTTTCCCCTCCATCCCACCCTTCCTGCGTTTCTCTCTCTCTCTCTCTCAATATGTTCTTGTATTAGGTAGGTGGCATGTTACAGGCATGGCAGGTCGAGGGAGAGATACAACAACAGGCAAACAACATACGCCGAGATCGCTAGAGGGGCAAGGGGCACGTCACCATCCACAGAGGCCTAGCGGTGGGCATCGCCTCTCACTCGTCGCTTGTGTCAAATCTACGCTCCTACCCGCCGCTTCCTCCACCTCTCCTCCCCCCCTCTCCCCCCCTCAGGTGCCCAACGCCATCCATAGAGGGCTAGCGGTGGGCATTGGTATAAGGTTTGTTTTGAGACGTCTCAAGGCAAACCTTATATCTAACGGTGGGCATTGCCTCCCACTCGCTCAATTCGTCACATCTCTCCTATGACCCCACAGAACTTGAGACACTTCTACCCCACTCTTCCTCCACCTCTCCTCACCCTCTCTCCCCCTCAGATGCGCGGCGCCATCCATAGAGGCCTAGCGGTGGGCTTCGCCGCCGCAACCCCTCTGAGCATCAGCCCACCCCTAGCCCCCGACAAGGACTCCAAGTTCTCCTACCCACCTCATCTCCCCCTCCCCCCCACTTCTTTCTCCCCCAGGTGCGCGATGCCATCCACAGAGGGCTAGCTGTGGGCATTGCCTCCCACTCGCTCGGCACCTCGGCTCTGGTAGGCACCTAAAAGTTGTACCACGTGTGTAACTGTCCTGGCTGCTTCACATGCGCCTCCCTTGCCTCATGGTCGTCATTTCTAGATACAAGCGAGTCCTAACCGTTGTTTGCCTACTGTTTGCCCTCGTCCCTGTTTGCGCTTGTCCCTGCTTCAGGTTGCTGAGGAGCCACGCTCTGCTGCAGGTATGGCTAGTGGGTGTATGGGACAGGTGGGTGTGCGTGCGTGCGTGTGACCTGTGCTGGTTTACCCGGAGCAGGCATGAAATGGCTGGTGCAGGAATGGCTGATGCAGGTATAGGTGTGGCTGGTGAAGGAATGGCTAGTGTAGGAATGGCTGGTGCAGGAATGGCTGGTGTAGGTGTGGCTGGTGCAGGAATGGCTGGTGGACGAATGGCTGCTGCAGGAATGGCTGGTGCAGGAATGACTGCTGACTTTTATGCCTCCCCCTCATCACTGTGCATTTTGCATCAACTTTGATTGCTGTGCGTCTAGCTCTTGAGGTAGAAAGTCACCTTTTTGCTCGAGCTCTGATTGCTGTGTGTCTGGCTCTTGATTCTCCTCAAACCCGTCGTTACTCCGCTTTCTTCTCCTTTTCATACGCACCCTTTCCCCATCCCTTCCCAGTGTCGGGACTGGCCTTTGCGCTAAAAGGCACACTCAGCGTTATCCTTATATCCATTCCAGCCTTCAGAGTGGCGTTGCTCCAATTAGCCGGTACTGCCTAGCTGCACTGCACACATCACAGTGCGAGTTGGAGGCATTTTTTTCGGTTCCCAATGAGTGAAGGGGAGAGTGGGAAAATTTTCATGCTTTACTTTTATGTACAACACATTTCTGTTATGTTATCGAGAGAATGGGTAACTAAGGAAAAATGTCGAGAGATACAAAACTAGGGAGCCAGTCAGCAAGTGTGGCAAGGCAAGCAGTTATAGAACAAGTACAAGCAAGTTTAGTATGACTCAGGATACAACGAGCAGCGCTGCTATGAAGACTAGACCAAGCTGAGTACAGAACAGTTGGAGTTCAGAGCCCATGACGTGTCTGTGTGTCCAGTGAGGACCACTGGCTCCCGTCCTCCTAGCACAAGCCCCAGTCCTGATGTACTCGCCAGATACCGCAGTACCCTCTTGGCGGCCGACGAGTGCACTGGTCGGTACCTGCCTGTCGCAACAAAGCGAGCCAGGAGACTAAGAGGGTACGCTAGATCTGGTTGGGTGCAGGTCAATAGGTACATGAGGCACCCCACCAGCTCTACGTATGGACCAGGGCTGACGTTTCAAAAAAACCCACTCTGATTTTAGCCCCAAAAATTTTTCCCAAGTCTGAGTAGTCAGGTTTCAGTTTTCCTGGTAGTCTGATTTCTCAGGATCCAGTAACTTTCAAGCCTGATTTCTTCAGGGTTCGCAAGTATGAATCAGAGTCGTGATTTTACCATTTAGTCGCCAATTTTTCATAACATTCGGGCAGTTAACCTACACCTAGTCTAATTTCCTAGCCTAGCTAGAACTCTGGCACATCCACAGCGACGACATCCTCCGCCTCATCATCCGACAGAAAGGGGTTGTCTTCTATAGCTACTGCACCTCCACCATCCCTCTCCCCCTCCTCCTCCTCCTCCTCATCCCAATCCTTTCCTAAGTAGTCTGGCACTGGAGGTTCCTGCTCTGCCTCTTCCAGCAGAGCCTTGCCTTTGCGCTTCCTCTCTTGTGATGCGAACACCACCGACTTCGCTGGTCTTCTCCTTTTTGCGTGCCACAGCTCCAGCGCCTCTTGCCAATTGATGTCGTATCTCAGCAGCGAAATCATCATCAGCTCACCCAGGCGGGCATTGCACAGAGCACCACGGACCCAAGACTTGATCACGTTCTGCCTGGAAAAACCACGCTCGCACTCCACAGTTGAGAGTGGTAACACCGCGCATGCTTGCCAGAGAAGCATGAGGTTGGGCCAGCGCCTGTTTATGGAACAACCACACACAAGAGGCGTGGAACAATAGAATCAATTATAAACTACAAGCATGGTGGGAAAGGAACAATAGAAGTTGATACAAACATAGACAGTTAGCGTGATCAAACTGGCAAAAACAATCATACACAGGCAGACACAGCAGCGTGCTTTGGAGACTCGACTTACCTGCTTGACTCCGTGTTGCCAAGGTAATTCGTGAGGCCCTGGTAGAAGCCCTCCTCGTTGTGGTGGTTCTGCATGATCGGGGCCCAAGTTGCCAGCTCCTTCTCCGCCTCCTTCAAATCGAACCCGGGGAGCTTGTCGTCGAAGATAGTACTGCAGCCATGGAGATACTCTCTCGTCTTCTTCTCCCTCACCATCCGATGCCGCGGCCACTTGCCCGCCCGAAACAGCTTTGTCGGCCCGAGCTTCGACAGGTCGTCCAGCCGCTCCAGCAGGTTCGTCACGCTCCCCCTCGCGAATTTCGCGCATAACAGTTCGCAGTCCCGGTAGTTGCTCTGGTAGACGTGCCCCTTGATCTGCCGCTCGTGCATCTGGTACGTGTGCGTCACCGGCTGCCCGTCCTTGTCGACGCCGCGCACCTTCACTTTCTTCGCCCCCCCTCGCCCGTACACGGTTAAGAAAGCCGAGAGCCACGTGCCGCTTACGCCCGCACCGAAAACCCCGCCGCACTCCAAGTAGCGGTGCCGAAGATCCCCCACCGCCTCGTCGACGTCCTGTGTTATCTCGGTAACATCCACCTGCGGTCGGGCGGGGGGGGGGGGGGGTGGGGGTGGTGGAAACAGGGGGGCGCAAATCAAGGGGGAGAATGTTAGTGCTGATTGTGAAAGAACATACCACAACCTCACATGCAAGGGCTCACCTCTCGCTTCTAAAACTTGAGGTTGAGCTCGTTCATGATGGCGAGGACGTCCGCCAAGAAGAAGAGACAAAACTGAAACTTGTATGAGATGACAACCTCGTACAGCTCATGGTTATACTCGTACAGTAAAACGATGGCCGCACCAAGGACCTTACAGAGGCGTCTGACTGCCTCGCCCCTGGACAACCACCGAATCGCGTGGATTCCTTGAACTTCAAGGTTGGTCTTGTGGATGACACGCTGAAGGTACTTGAACCGCTGGCTCCACATGCTTGAACGGCCGAGGAGATCGGCCAGAGTTCGGATAACCTTGTCGACCATGTCCAAGTCTGGACAGGCAGACGCGGCGTCCTTCACAGCCAGAGCTTCCCTGCGCACAGTGCATGTAAAAAGATTAGTAAACGAATAAAAGAAAAAAGCGACAACATAACATAACGAGTTTATACCGGTGGGCGATGCAGTGGGACGACACAAGGTGAGGGATGTGCTCGCGGAGCCGCGCCACGAGACCGTTCTCACGACCAACCATGACGGAAGCGCCATCGGTGCTGATTCCCGCGATGCGGTTCAGTTCGATGCCGGCGCCTTGAAGATGAGTGAGAAGCACGGAGAGCAGGGAGGCGGCGTCGCACTTCTCGACGGTGAGCAACGAGAAAAACTCGGTGACGACGCGGCGATGGCGCAGGAACGTGAGGTACACTATCAGGTGCTTCCCTCTAGTACGATCAGTGCTCTCGTCGCAACTGATGCCGATGAACGGGGACGATTGAATGTGCTGCATCTGGGTCCGTTGAAGAAGAGTCGCCAAGCAGTGGACCATCTGTTGAAAGCCGTACCTGCATGCAGAAGAGAGAGTAATTGTTAAAAAAATCCAACGGAGAAGACTAATGGAATCTCGTCGCCGGTACTTACCGAGTGAGATAAACACCGTAAGACTGGAGCGGTAGGTCCGGGGTGTCCTGCTCAGCCATAAAGCGACATAGCCGAGGAAACATGCTGATGGGAGCATCGACCTTACAGAGAAACTCAACAGCGCGGAGCAGTCGCACGACCCGCCTCCCCTCGACATCCGACGACAAATAGTCGTCCATCCTCTTCTGTCCATCGGCGATGTCGTCGGCAATCTTCAGCTGGGCATCCACAGCTTCCTTGTGTGCAGAAGAGTGCTCGTGTATGCGCATAGTCTGTGTCTGCAGGTCTCGGCCACCATCGCCCGAAGAGCTGTACTTGGTGGTCTCCTTGCCAAACGTCATGCACACACTGCACTTGAGAGAAGGGTGGCCGTCTTTTGTTTTGGTCAGCACTAGCCATGGAAAGAAAGGCAGCCATCAAGTTTTGTACTTTGCTTCAGCGACGAGGTATTTCTGCTCTATCAATTCCTTCTTACTCAGCTTTGGCGGTGGCGGTTCAACGACGGCAGGGACTGCACTAGGTGATGGCGGCGTGGATGGGTGGCGGAGCCTACCTCCGATAATGATTTGAGACTGGGTGTACTTGCCCGTCCGTTGTTTCTTCGCAGACGAAATCGTGGACGCGCAGGGCACGCTGTAGCGGACTGTGGTGGCGGTGACGCACTTAACGGGCAGAGTCGGGCCTCTGCTGGATGAGGCGACGGCAGGCGGAGGGACATATGGTGGTGGCACGAAGGGCGCGGACGGGGGTGGGTTTAGAGCAGGCTGGGTTTCCTCCGCTGCGGAGGAAACCACAATAGCAACGACGGGAGGAGAACCTAACGACCGCAGTATGTCTATCGCAGAGCGACGAACCTCTGCAGGCTCGTTACTACGAGGTGGTTCATCGGCGCTGGGCTCATCGTCTTCTTCTGCAGGAGTCCCCGTCATGGCTGTTGACGGGGTCGACAAACGAGAACCTACGTGAGGACGAGAACAACGAAACACGGATTGACGAGTAAGATTTACAAACCCCGTGTAAAAGTTTGAGTGCGCCTGAGAGGAGGGGGAGGGATGAGAGGGACGAAGAAGAAGGGCACCATCAAGCCCGAGGCGCGTGTTTCTTGGTTAACTGTCGTCGTCAGCTTCTGGATGGCAGCCCCTTCCAAACCCGCGCCGCCATGCCAAACATGAGCTGACGTTACGAACGAACCATGTGTTGGCATGAACTGTCGCCAATCACGGTCGGTCGGAAAGTTTTGCACATGCCAGCGAGGGCAAGAATCCCGCGTTACCAACCTTTGATGGCTTCCAACACACCCACGTAGAGGTCGCACGTGTGGCAGGAAGCATGACGCGCTGAGCGGCAAAGTCCCTGTTGAGGCAGCATCACAGTTACAGAGGGGGCGAGAATCCTGCCAAGTGCAGATACTTCACGTGAGACGTGCGGGGGTGAAATGGTGAAGGCAACATATGACGTAGTAGAGGAAATCTCGTGGAAAGTACAAGGTGCATGGATGTCGCATTCAGAGTCCATACGCGATGTACTTTGAACCCTCAGTATCCGTACAACGACTACTCTGAAAACTTCAGGATCCAAAATCTTACAAGTCTGAAGGGTTCAGTATCCAGAAAAGCCTAAGTCTGAAAAATCAGGATTGGCAAAAAAATGGGTCTGAAATTTCAGACAATCAGACTAAAATAGTCTGATAAAATCAGCCCTGGTATGGACCACAAGCCTCGATCGGGTCAGCCGGAATAGAAGCAGAGCGCCTGTGATCCACAGGGGTGGGCTGTGCTGAAGAGAACTGGAGACTGAACCTCTGGAGGATCTGTTGCACCATATGGGACTGGGAGAGTGTGATCCTGCGAGCGACACGGTCACGAGAGATCTCCAAGCCCAGATAGCGCCTCAGCTCCCCCAAGTCAGTACATGTGTGTTTCCCATGGAACTCGCCCGTCACTAAGGCCAGTGCGACTCTGTCTAAAGTAGCAAAGATAAGATCGCCTGAGTACACTAGGATATAGAACGGTTTTTTACCCGTGCGAAGAAAGAGAGAGGGGTCTGCAGAGGACGAAAAGAACTGCAACTCAGCAAGAGTGGTGCGAAGCGTGTCGTGCCACTCACGGGGTACCTAACGAAGGCCGTAGACAGGACGGCGGAGGCTCTACTTGGTCCCAGAGAAGCCTAGAGGGCATCGGAGGTAGATCGGTTTGTGCAGACTACCCTGTAGGAACGCTGTGGAGAAGTCGAGTGAGTGAAGCTCATAGTCTTGCAGTGGAGAAGGACTCGAAGAGTAGTAATCTTCGTGGTCGGGGAGAAGGTCTGGAAAAAGTCCACACCCTCACGCTAACTGAAGCCTCTAGCCACGTAATGTGCCTTGAACTTCGGCGGCACTCCAGGTGCGCGCTTCACCCTGTAGATCCACATGCCATCGACTGCGTTCGCCCCAGACAGGGGTACTATGTCGACGTAAGTGCCTGTGGATCCGTAGGATGCCATCTCAGCCTTCTAAGCTGCCCAGGCTGCCCAGTAAGAAGCCACGGGAGGAAAACGGTAGGCATATCGGCCCTCCGCTCTAACGGGAACACTATGGTGAACCGCGAGAAGTCTTCAACGACGACTAGGAGGTAGCGCTCCCGACTAAGACCATGGACAGGGGCAGGGCCCTAGACGTCCATGTACAGTGTCTGTAGTGGCGCTGTGATAGGA